AGCCCTGCATAGCTGCAGGAGTCGAGTCAGAAAGATAAAGAGAGGGAGCACAATCGTGTTTTCACCTGGTTCAGCAGTAACCCAGCAAGGGAAGATTATTGCCCTGAGTGTTCATCTTCACTTCTTTGATCTGTCATGTAACCTCTTGCTTGGTGTTGCTGTTAAAACTACTCTACTGTAAAAAAGATCTAGTGATGAACCAGTGTGAATCAATGAATAACATATTCTCTTCTTCCTCTTCTTCCTCCCAAGATCATTTCTTTCTTTCAGGGTAAATTACATGTTCTGTGTTTGCTGGACATAGTTGAATTGTTCAATTAGTTTTTAAGATGACGTGGTTGGAAGCTTCTTCATTTAAATTTGCTGTGGCAAAAGTTTCTGTAGCTTTTTCTTAAACAGTTGTCAAAACAATTTAATACTTAAATGTGTTACAGGTATGCTTGTAAAAAATGTTCTCTAAAAACTGCTGAAGAAAAAGTTCTAATTCATTTGACTCTGTGTTCCTGCTTCTGTAGTTACTGTGGGTTTCAGTCCCTGAGAAAGGATGTTTAGCTGAAATGTTGGAGAATAAATTCACCAAAACTGCATGGTTGGGGTTTTTTTGATCACTCACGTGATCATCGGTGTCACAGAATGTGAGGAGTTTTCCTGTGTAGACTTGTAATTTCACATATCTGTATACTGCTGGTTTCTGAAATGAATATTTTTGTATTAACATTTCAAAAGGGATTAGCTTTGGAAAATAATTGCTGTCACTAACCCCATTAGCAAAACTGCTGCTCCTGGCACGAAGGTGGAACAGCAGCTCTGGGTCTGACTGGGCCAGTGCTTGTGGCAGCTCCATTCAGGTCTTGTGTGATATGTTCTACACCTGAAACTTGAGAGCTGAGAGAGAATTTGGGTGTAGTTTCAGGTGCTAGGGCAGTCTTCTCTTGAAATACTCTCAGGAAGATGCTCTTAAATGTTATTGCCAATTCCTGTTGGATGAACATAGGATGAAGAGCCAAAATTATTTCAGAAATCTTTATTGCTGTACTATACTGTTTGTTTACAAGTGTGATGTTGAACTGTCTTTAAATATTTCAGTGAGCTCTTCCTCAGCTTGCACTGACTTATGACACTGTCTGATGGAGCTGCAGGGAAGCATCAACACCAGATGGGGGACTGGGGGTAAGGGACAAAGATTGCTCTGAGGTGTTGCCAACCTGTGCTTCATGTAGAAAGGATCTCAGGCTGGCTGTGCTTCAGTGCATCTGAATGATCTCCTGGTTGTCTCACCAAGGTGCATTGTCCAGTGACTGCTGCTCTTCCTTCCAGAGTCTTCATTTCATTAAATCCCAGCTTTCTGCATGGGAGCACTTGTTCAGACTGGTTTGTTTGCTGTCTTTCCAGTCCCAGCCTGAAGCCTGGGTTTAGAGGCAAACAGAACCTCCTCCATGAGGGCAAGATTGGATTTCCTATATTTTCTATTCATGTGTGGTCCTCTCATTTCCCTGCTTCCCCACCTCTAATTGATGTAGAGTTGCATTTCATGGAGAAGTGGAATTTCCTTATCTTGTCTTGGATTTTTCATCTCCCCTGTGTGGGTGGACTGGCAGAACCAGTGTTCTGGATCTCAACTGCTGTTGCCCAGTGTTGCAGATCTTTTGCTTTGAGCATTGGAAAAACAGAACCTGTTCCTGGAAGAAGATGGAAGAAGTGAAGCTGACAAAGGTAAGCCAGCCAGAACCCAGTCTTGAGACCAAATGTACAAAGAATTTCCCAGATTGGTTTCCCTGTGCAAAAGTAGATTTCTTGCTTTTGCTTATGACCTGTCTGCTCAGCTTTTGGCAGAATGAGAGTACAGTCTGTATTCCATGCATGATGATTAAAGGATATTTCCTTCTTTTATAATTATGCTGTATATGACATTTTTGTCTTGACAGCAACGTTAATTTATTCCAATATTTACAATTGTATCAGCAAGGTTCAGAGCTAAAACTGCTTTTTCTGTGAAGTACATTTACCACAACAGCACACATCCATGTGTAGAAAATACTAAATGTCTCACAGGTTGCCCTTGCTCATTTCAGAAACAATTCATAAGAAACAAAAATAAATACAATGCTATGAAGCACAGCAAAAGTTTGCAAAGTACCAGAGATTTATTATTAGTTGAGGTTGAAGCCTGCTGGCAATCCTTAGACTCTGACACTGTGCTCTGATTAGAGCCTGGTGGAAACCACTGTTGGTGCTCTAGCAGAAATGGACTGCTGCATGTGAGGTTTTGGCACATTATTTTTCTGTTAATTTATGACCCACATGTTGCAATGCTTGACTGTTCCAGCAAAACCTTGCCAGGCTTTATTAAAGGGGAGGGAAGAATAGGTGTGGCAGGCACAAAGCTTTTACATTCTCAATATGTTGTTGACCAGAGTGCTGTACAGGCTTTAATTTTTAGCTGTTTTTCTTTCCAACAAAACACAATATTCCCCATAAAAGTTAAGCACAAGAGGATGTGTTGTTCTGAGTTCTGTCAGCTCTTTAGTTTACCTACATCAAATTCGAATGTTTTTCAATGTGCTGCAATTACTTATGCAGTACCTGAGCTGTAGTTCCTCATACCTGTTTCATTTCAAACACCAGTTTAAGAGACTGTACAGCAGCTGCAGTCATTGCTCCCACAAGGATAAGATTGATGTGTGCTCCTTCCCTTTTTCCCTTTTCAACTGAGTAAGTTCTCATGTTTTGCTACAAATCACCATTTTCTGATTTTTATTGAGCTTTGGGGTATTCACATTTCAGCCTTGTCTGTTTTGCAGGTTGCTTTGTCTGGGTTCATTCAAGTGAAGTCCCAGCACATGAATCACTCCATACAGATCCATGAAAAACTGACACCAAACACCAAGCAAGCAGAATAAACCAAGAGCCTTCTGAGTTTGATGCCTGTAACTGTCTCCTGGTGGCAACTTTAAGGAAGATTTGATTCTTGTGGTCACAGGGAAAGACAGTCCAGCCACAGGCATGTAAAAAATGATGCTTAATAAATGATTCCAAAAAGCTGCCTTTATGTGTTTGCTTTTGTGACTGCTCTATTAGACACCAAAAAGCACTAGGGGGATTCTCTAGATTTACTACTGATTTTCCTCTAGTTTTCTGTGCTGAACAGGCTGGCTTTGAAAATCTGGTGCTAACCAGAGGGAGAAATAGGGAAAGACTCTTCTGCTTCTCAAAATACTCTCTCTATGTCAGGGAGCCTTCCAGCCTCCTGTGAGCACAGCCTGTGATTTAAATAAACCCAGTCAATTTTAAATGGCAGAAAACGAGGGGAGAGGTAAGCAAGAGGTACCAAAACGTTTCTCCACCAGCACAGCACGAACCCCCTCCTGTTGTGACATTGTTTGCAGAGCAACAGACTGGGAATTGAAATGGGATTGTGGACCAAGCTGAAGCATCACACAGTATTTCAAGCTGCTCCAACAAATTAACTATTTAACACTCTGCTAATGTTGTGCACACACTTATTGCCTCCCAGCATGAAAATCAAGCAAATAATTGCAACAAGCTTCTGCCCAGTAGAAGTCACTGTACTATAATGAGAAACTTTGTCCTGTGAGTAAACAGAAGGAACAGGGAAGCTGTTGGAAGCAGGTTGATGTTGCTTTAGATAAACAGGAAAAATAATTTAGGAGTGTTCTGTGTCCGTGCCTTGAGCTCCGGGTGCAGTTCAAGCTGCTGTGGTGCCGGCTCTCCTCGGTACCATAGCAACTGGACCACACCCCCTGGTGCTGCAGGATGCTAAAGAGCCCTTGGAGCACTATCTGCTGTACTGCACGGGAACTGCATCACTTCATTACCACAGCGCTGCCGGCTGACAGGCCTTTTCATCCCATGGAATGACAAGGAAATTCTTCGTTCTCTGCCCAGTAATCCTATGTTTTCTTTCCGTGTTTCTGTAGTAATCCTATTTTTATTGCAGAAGAGGACTATGTTGATTTTAAATCAATACCAGAGTAGTATCTGTTGGTGCATTTTATCTCGTTTCAAAGTAAGTTGTTGATTAAAAATAAGCATTCTTGGCCACCTGATGCTCTTCTTGTGTAGTGCTCCTGTATGGTGGTGTTATGTTAACGTTTTGGAAGAATACTCAAGGATTTGAGCATGTTTTTCTTCTCACTTAGACTTTGCAAATGACTGAAAAGCTTTCCCCACTCCTAACCTCTCTTCTGTTGTGCAACAAAAGAGCTTTCCTTTAAGCATCTTGGTTTCCAAGCACAAGGAGTCGTCTCTGGGCATTACTGAACGTTTGACTTAAGGTGTGATGAATCCTCTTATGCCAAGTTGAATTTTTTGATGTATGCTGTAGATTAATGTTTAACTTACCTAAAACGAGTGTGGAATTAATGTTGTTCAGAGTTTCATTTTTAAAGTTGTTCTCTTCAGATCTTGGGTTTTATACAAAATCTTCTAAGTCTGCATTGAATGTCACAGCCTGACTTGGTTTGTCAGGGCTGTTTCCTTTGCTGCCTGTCTTAGAAAGATGATGATTATAACAGTACAAAAATCTTATTCTGGCTTCATGACCTGCATGGGGGAAAGCTTTTTAAACAATCTGAAAACTTACTCATTGATTTCTTCAAATGTATTGGTTTCTTACTGTACTGATTTACCAATTGTTGTCTTTGCACTTTGGTATCAATCTTGGGGAGGGACATGTTTTGGTGATATGTGGCACAACAGCCATTGCAAAATAATATAATTGGTGTTGCTGGATTTTTAGGTTTCCTTATTTCTTAGAATTTAAGAAATCCTAGTGTAGTTCAGACAGCTTCTGCAGCTTCTTGTGACTTGAGTACAAAAATATCAATACCCTCCCTAAAGCAGTATAAAACTGTATTTGGAGCTCTGCATGTAATACAGTAAATCCATAGCAATATTGTGAAAACTATATAAAAATGCAAATTACCACTTTTTAAACTTGATAATGCTTATGCATCCCCTCCCCCTTCCTGTCTTTATAGGTCTACGAGGGCTAATCAATCTTGGGAACACATGTTTTATGAACTGTATTGTCCAGGCACTTACCCACACTCCACTGCTGCGAGATTTCTTCCTCTCCGACAGGCACAAATGTGAAATGCAAAGCCCCAGCTCATGTCTGGTCTGTGAAATGTCTACGCTCTTTCAGGAGGTGAGTGCTGTTTGCCACAAAGCATCACCTCCTTACAGATGCTGTTTCTTACCCCAAATGGAATTGTGTTCTATTTGCAAATATAAAGGGAATGCAAGTCATGTTTCCCCTTAAAATGTAGGAAAACAGAGCAGTAAAGATCGAGACCTCACTGTCAAAAATATCCAGCTGCTGAAAACTGATGGCTTTTAAGACCTATTCTGAAGTCACCTTTGTTTAGGCAAAGCTGGTATTGGAAATAATTACAGTACTGCCTGTTCTTCTGAGACTGATCTGGGAGTCTTTAGTTTTAAAGCTGAATGTGTGCTTTAATTAAAGGTGCAAGTTGTAACTGGAAAATATGTCATGAGCTCTTTGGGTGATAATGGGAGTGAGAATAAAGCAGTAATATACATCCTTGTGGTTTAAGGTACTGGATTATGTAGGTCTGTATGAATATTTTAAAGATCTCAATTCAGTGCTTGTTCACTAGCAGAAACATCTTTTCTGTGCAAACCCAGTGAGGGCCAGGAAGGAGAATGAAGAGAAGTAAATGTGTTGCTACACTTTGTGTCTTCCCTGTATAAGCTGCACTTCTTTCCCTTTTCCACTCAGGGAACTTGCTTTGCAGTGTGCCCTTACTGTAGGTCTGGTCTGTGCTGTGTGAGGCACAGGCTTTTCCTAAATAAATAGTCAAAGAGCTTTATCATCTGTCTTAATTCCACGTCAGTATTGTAAGGATTGTGGGTGGACATGGGCTCCTGGTTTTAAGATGTCTTTCAAAACAATCCCAGTTCTGTGCCTTTCCCTCAGTGGTAGATCTGTTTTCTTGGTAAGTAAAATAAAAGCAACCAAAAAGCCAGAAAGAGCTGTAGTGTACGTGCTGTCATGGAGCATTTAAAATTGCTGGAGATGTCTGAACACAGAGCAGGTTTTCTGTGGATGTGCTGTCATGGAAGTTCATTCTGACAGGGACCAATCTAAAATAGCTTTACCTTTATCTTGTGATTTTCAATTTGATTTTGCTCCTGTGCCTTTTTCACCAGAGATGATTCTTTTTGGTCACTGCAGGTGAGTTAAACATATATATAGAAGAAGGTGAAGCCCCCTTAGTTGTTCCAGTATAAAGTTGTTTTTTGCTCAGACTCAAGACTTCTGAGGATTTGCCACATTTCATGCTGCTTAGCAATCATTAGCTGTATGTTACATTTCTTATTTTTTGTTCTATTTTTCAGTTGCTCCCGAGTCTGTCAGGAAAGGAGGTAAAAAGAAAAGGCAGGCAGACCAATAGGTAGCAGCTGTAGGGTTATTGAAACCAGATGTGCAGTTAAGTGGGGAAATACCACAATGCCTAGATAAAAAAAATCAGTCATGGAATAGAAATACCAGTTTCTGTACACTGTTAATACAGAAACCTATTTGCTTATTTAAAAACAAGGAACTGTTAAATTCTTGATATCCTTTCATCAAATAGTGATGTAAAGTCTCATGTTGATGTACATCACCAGACTTTATTTACACATTTTTTAAAAAAAATCTCTTGGGAAAGGGGAAATGAGTGTTACATTGCAGATTGAGAGGCTGCAGGAAAGATCAAGACTCTCTAGGTAAAGATTTTTGTTTCCATTTTTGTATGTGGAGCCCTGTTGATGGCTCAGGGTGCCTTTTGCTCTACTGTGAGCATGGAACAAAGAACAGGCTGTTATCCAAAATGGGGCTTAAATGCAGCATTTGTTTTAGTTTCAACTGTAAACAAGTTGAATTTCACACACAACTTTGAGGAGCTCAGCCTTCATTTTCAAATCAAAATTCATACCTACACTTGCATTAGTTCTATTAATTAAATGTTCTGCAACATGAGGGTGTATGGATGAGGGAACAGCCATATCTGTGACACCAGACTGTGCAGACAGCAATAGTCCCTGTCCTTATTTCACATTAAATACTGCAGCCATGTGCTGTAGGAGGACACAGAAAGTGACTCAACCTTCTTGAAGTAAAACTGGAGCTTAATCCTCCTAAGCAAAGCTGTTGGGTCTGTAACCAACTCGGTATATTTGAACTCACAAGCAGTAAATACCTTGTTGTGCTTATGGCTCTGTCAGCACCCATTGTACAGTTCTGTTCCAGTGAGTTTTAATTTCTCTGCATTCAGAATTAAAACAAAAAGCTTGCATTTTTTGGAGCAGACTGATTATGTTTCATGTCCCAGCTCTATGCAGTGATTGTAATGAAGATTCTGTCACTGCCTTTGCAGAGCTGAGGTCTGAGTGAAGGAAGGCAAACCAGGAGATCTCAGTGCTATGGTTAAGAATTCCTCTGTAATTGAATTAGCAGGGAAACTTTGATTCAGGTTCTGTCTTGTTTTTACATAGCTTTCCCACCGGGATTAACTGGTGTGGTTATCCCAAAGCATTTTACCCAGGGACAAATAATCAGGGCAAGGGTTAATTTCATCTCCCCTCCACCCTTCTTTTCTGAAGGTGTGATCTTAGGCAAATGGAATGCCAGGGGATCTGGTGAGTGCCTGAGTGGGAGCTCTCCAGGAGAAAAAGTGAGGCTGTTTTGAACATTAAATAAAACCTACTGTATATAAATAAGTAGGTTTTGCTCTTTTGCCTCTTAAACAGAAGTTACCCATCTCACTTTATTTCTTTTTTTGTTTAAGATCATGTAGTTATATAGGTTGAGTGATTTCTCTGTGATAAATAGGAAGCTACAAAGTTCTTCCACCTTGAAGTAGGTTGGTGGTGAGTAATGACTATCAGATGGTTCTCAGGACTGAGGTGGTTTTTTTCCTGGTAGCTTTTCTGGCAGACACACCAAGCATTGAGCTCTGTTTGTTTTAAAAATATCTCACTGCATCAATTAACATTCTCATTTGTGCTACATGAAACCTATTTCTCAATAGAATCATGACATGACTTACACTGCATAAGAAAAGGAATGAAAAGGATTTGGGAGTAACAGATAGTGGTGGAGCTGGATGGAGGGAAGATAGAGCACACAGAATCTATTCATTGAGCCTTTTGGCTAAAAGGGTTGGTGCACTCCTGTTTACCTACTGATGTTTGTGTTGTAGTTTTGCTTCACCAGTGAAAATGAATTTCAGGATGGTCCAGACCCTGAGGTTTATCTAAATCCTTTTTAGAATGACCATTCAGGAAGGTAGGATTAGATCTGTGACTGGAACACTAGGAATACCTGGGAGTAGAGCAGAATGCAGTGCATCCACTCAGAGATGGAAGGAGCAAAACCTTCCTTTTTCCCATCATTGCTCATCCTCATGAGCCTATCACAGTGCACAGCACAAGCATGGGAAGAGCTGAGAAGTGAGAACCAAGAAGGAAAAGGAGGAGATGATTTATGGCTTTGATATCTGAAGATGCTACTGTTGAAGTGACTTATGCATAAAACAAACTGAAAGAAAGGTACAAGAGGGGGGAAAAATGTAGTTAAGGCTTTTTACATAGATAGAAGCCTTGCATTTAGTCATGAAAAATATAGAGTTTGTGCTGATTTAATAAAACCTTTTCCCTGAAATAAGTGTAGAACATATAAAATTCATGCAAGCAAAATGTAGTTTGTGATTCTTTGAACCCTTGTTCTTTGGGGAACCTCCAGTAGGTGTTCTACTGCATGTATTCCATGTATTGCCCACTCCTTTCATCTATTGTAAATTGCCAGGAAATTTAAAGTCTTTACTGATAACCAATTTCCAAGAGGAGTTCTTGGCTTCTCAAATTGGACTTGAACCTGGCACAGGATTTCTGCCTAGAAACTCGTAATTACAAAGCTCAGAGACTGCTTAGTGGATACATGTGCTGGATAAATCAAATTTATCTGTTTATCCACATAATTGAGAAACTTCTGTGCATGTTTTTGGCAGGAGGAGGAGAAGGAAGTACAGATGTGTAGTACGGTGGGGTCTTGTTTTGTTTTAAAACTTCACTGGTATCTGTATAATTTTGGTAGCAATAATGCAAATTACAAAGCCTGTAGTTTTTTTAAATCCCCCATAGATTCTTTCTAGAATGCAACAGCAAGTGTTTTAAGTGGAAAAACAAAATTACTTTTACTTGGGCTGTGTGTAAGAATGGAGCTTTGAATCCTGGTTGGTTTGTTCCTTTCTCCCTCCCTCCCCTTTTTTTTTTCCTGGAACAGCAATTAAGCAGTGTATTACCCAGCACTTTGAAATTGCTCAAACTAGTTCTCTCCAATATAAACAACTGATACTGCTGAATTTAAAACAAATTTAAACAAAAAAAAAAAGCTTAAATTATGCTTGGAACGGTTGTGCCATTAAAGTGTTTTAAAGGTGACTTGCAAATACATCATTGTTTATATTTGCACACTTCAGTGAAAAGGTTGGAATAAGACTTTACATGGGCTCTTTTCCTTTTTTGTGGATTGGAACAGCCCTGATAGGCTGCTCTTCCCAGCAGCAAGGAAATGACAGAGATGGGATGGATGTTTTATACATTCCAGTCAAAATATTGTTATTGAATGTACTCAGATTCTTTGTTTTATTTAATATTTATTTGAGCAGTGAAGCTTTCCCCCACCCCGCATTCTTACCAGGCAGGTTTCTAGTTTTTTGTGTGATAATAGTTAATAATTTTCTAAAGCTTCCTATCAGATCCTTCTCATCCTACTGAGGTAGCAGAGAATGTAAAATCTGCTGGCAGGTCTTGTGTCTGCAGTGGAGTAATTACATGGAGTGCTGGTGGTTAAAATGACCAGAGAGCTCTGGGACTAATTGTAAGGAGTGACAGAACAGGGAAGTTTTATTGCTGCAGTTCCCTGAATTATGTTGAGCAGCAGCTGCATCAGCAGATTTCAATTACCACACTCCTGCTCCAGTCCCTCGGTGTCATCCTTGTTGGCATCAGAGTTAACTATTGATCTTTGTATTTATAGGAGCATTTTGTGGTGTTTGGCTGCAGAGGTGCAGCTTCTTGTTTGGGGAGAGAGGAGCTTGTGAGGAAGACATTTCTGTGGGAGGAAATAAAAATCATGTAGAAAACCCTACCAATATGAGGAGTAGATGAAGATTGTGCTGCCTTTTGCCAACCTGTCCCTTAAAATACAATGTTTTCTCATGGCAGGTTTGTAGCACAGTGCTTGGACTTAAAATGCTCAGAGACTATGCAGGGAGAAACTCAGAGCTGGGGAAGGAAGCTCACTTTTCCAATAAGGATGATAATTATATACTGCTGAGGGTTTAAATCCTGATTTTGTTCTGTGTATTTGCCACTTACTGTCTTCTGTCTGGGAAGAGTAACTGAAAAGAAACGGCCATGGATTTGACAGGATCTTGGGAAAACAGAACTGTGGTGTTGCAGGCAGCATTTACTGGCAGATACCTTTGCTGGAGGTGAGGGAAGGCAAAAAGACTCACAAATGTTCACTTATTAAAAATAAAATGTTACTCTGTCAAGTGAATAAACTCTTCTGGGCCTTTCCTGACTCCTGTAGGGACACCACATGTATCCCTGCTTTGCTTTTGGAAGTGATATTGCTGTGCAGGGATAAAGGAAGAGCTGAACCTCAACCCAGGGAAACACAGACCCTTAGCATGGGTGGTTTTTTGGCATTTTTTGGGGGGTAAGTGGGTTGGTTGGGGGTTTTTTTTGTTTGTTTGGGTTTTTTCAAGTGGCACCTGACTGGTTTGTAATTTAAAAAAGTTTCCGTGGGCAGTGTCATCCTGCCCTGTGCCGATTTCCCTTCCCAGCTGTGTCACCCCCCAGCAGCAGCAGTGTTTCACATCAGGCTGTGCTGACTGAATAATTCATCTGTGCACTCTCTAATGTGCTTCTGGCAAAATCACCTGGGGCAGTTTTAGTCACTCCAGAGCCAGCTCATCGAATTGTGAGTGAAGCAGATGAAGGAGCAGATGCAGGAGCTGGTCCAGCACCAGATTCCCAGGCAGGGACACCCTGCTGGAGCACTGATGGCAGCTGGCTTTGGGGATCACTGACTGAATGGGGACCTTCAGCTCTGCAAGCAGCTGGCTCAATAAAGTTGTTTTTAAAGCCTTTTACAGTAAAAGGCCAGTACTGGCATGAGGCTGCTGCCCTGCTTGGAAATTTTTCCATAAAATTTGGAGTGTGCACAGCATTTGGATGCAGAGTTGTCGTGGGTCAGGGATTGGCTGACAGTCAGAATCTAATATTCTCATCTTCAGTGTTTGTTCTGATATGGGGGGGGGGGGCATTTCATTCACATAATTTGTGAATGAAATTGCTGATCCTTTTCAAATACAGGATTGTTTTTCCTTTTTTTCCTCCCCAGGCTATTTTAATAATCCAGTGGTATCAGTAAGCAAATTGTGAGTGATGCTTGTGTCTGCCTACCCCACTCCCTGCACCCCCACATTTTTCATGCTAATCCATCACAAATTGATGGAATTTCAGGGGAGAAGACTGAACTTCTCCAGCAGTCTGTGACAAAAACTGTCTCTTTCCTTTCTTATTAAGGCCATCAGAATGAAAGAGTTTAAATTGATTTGACTAATTGCTCTCATTTAACTTTTTAATAATGAAATGCTCTGAGGCTGTGCAAGTTGTTAACAGTCATGTCCTTCTCTTTGCTTTGAGCAGTTTTACTCTGGGCACCGATCTCCTCACATTCCATATAGGTTATTGCACCTGGTATGGACTCACGCACGGCATTTAGCAGGGTACGAGCAACAAGATGCACACGAGTTCCTCATTGCTGCATTAGATGTGCTACACAGACACTGCAAAGGTAAGGCTTGTCCTCAGCCTCCAATCAACAAGGATTATTGCATCAAAAGGAGGTAGAACCATCTCTTCTTAAACCAAGTCTAGTGCCAGTACAGAAGGCACTCTTCCTTTAAAAATGTTCGGTAGACTTCAAATATTTATAAATAAATAAACCATTCCTACCGTCAAAAAGTACCAAGAGTTAGAAACAGACAAGCCTGTACATTGGTTTGAATCACCATCATGATGTTCTCTTATTGGTTGTGAGTCACTGTCTTCTCTTTTAAATTGCCATTTTAATTCTATTTATATTTGAAGTAGTTAGAACTCTTACTCAGTGTGTCATGGGACTGATGAAAATAACAGGAGAGAGGCTATGTCTTAATACTATTACTCTTCTTAAATGTGATTCTGCTGTATTTCTGATACCAGATTGCTTACAGAAATGTGAATAAGAAAGAGCAATGGGTGGCTATGGTATCTTGTTTTATTAGTCTGTATAGAACAATATGTAATTGTACAATACAATAAAAATATTCAGTGCCATGCTTTTTGATATGAAGTATCAAAGTCTTGATTTTGTAATATCATATGAAATGATGTATTTTCTGTTTGTTAGCTGAAGTTAAGCTGAACTGAAAATTTCCCAATCTATCAATGTTTTCTCTAGCTTAATTCACTTACTGCAGCAGCAAAACTTTTACTCTTCCTCCAAGGGAAAAGTAGTAGGGTTGATATTAACAGAAGAAACAAAAAGTTCTTGGTTATCAAAAAGAAGATTTAAGCACTCAACTTTGCTCAAATGCTCTTAGGAAAAGCACTTAGAGTTTGGTTTTATGGCTTAACAGAGGACCATCAAAGGGAAGGCTGCTGCTGCTTCTCTGAGCCATTGTGAATCTTACTTTTATCTCTGAGGTAGCCCTGCATGGCAGGGGCTTGTTCACATCCATAATTGGTGCCTCCTAAAGAATCTTCTCCAAAAAAAATATTGCTAAGGACAGGAGTACACAGAGCAGTTCCTCTGTAGTTATTAATATCTGTCATTTGACAACGACTAACTGGATTTCAATAATCCAAATTAAACTGGTGTGGAAGTCCAGTAAGGAACAAAATCTACCCAAATATTGACTTCTCACTTCTTAATACTGAATAAATTCAGCTGCAAACAGAAGCACTTCTTTGTTCCTGTTAAATTCCTGAACCATTGATCTAAAAAATCTTGAAGATTTTTTCATCATTTTGGATATAAGATTATGCTCATATTTCTTCTACACATCCTTATTAATTAATGAAGTAGTATTTGTATCTCAGAATTGTAAAGATAAAAACTTGCAACAATATATGTCCCTGAGCTCTTCTCAAACTGATAAAGAATCTGAAAAGGCTTTAGAAAAAAATGTGGTTTGACTTTAAATGATGAATCTCTCTGACATATCTTCCTTGACATCTCTGCAGCCAGGTTTTCAAATTTCTGTTTCTGAAGAAATAGAGAGGCTTTTATTAAATCATAGTAAATAATCTGTACCACATCAAGGTAATTTAAAAGCAGTGGTTGAGCAGTTGTGTGGGAACCAAACAAGTTAATCTAAACCAGAATTTCAAGTATAGTCATGCAAAACCACATTTGGAATGAACTAGTTTTCAGTATAATGAGAAACTCTTCCCACTTGTGTATCCACACAGACACACTTGCATTGAAGTGTGCAGATTTAAAAATATTATTACTAATAGTGAGAATATGTCCTACAGCTACAATAAGCAAATAATACCTCCCCTGCCAATATTAAATATTTATTTTAATGAACGAAGAAAGCTTTTAAAGCTTCCAGTCAATAGTAATGAAATTTTACAATTAACACACAGTGAAATAAAATAAAATAATGGGGGAAATTTTGCTCTAGGTTTTGGACATTATTCATGATTACCAAGGCTTCAGGCACCAAAGTAAATGAAAGTGTTCCTTATATATAAATATCCAGTGATGTTTGTTTGGCTGCCATTAGTCATTTATCCCTTTTCCATTCTATGTACTCAGCTGTCTTAATCAAGTGAAGACAAAGCTGGGAATATTTCTTGTCGATCTGTCACTGCCTAAATTAAGAAAAATACGTGATTTTGATGTCCTTATAAAGATAAGTTTTGTAATCCTATAACTGCCCTGAGATGATTATGTGGGCAGGCTGCCCAGGTAATTTTGGTTTGGTTTGGTTGGTGTTTTAAATGCTGGTTGAATCTGTACTTGGTTTTAGTGACATCTGTGGAGTTTGGGAAGGCCAGGAAAGCTGTGTGATGTCCATGTGAATCCTGTGTGAGGGGTGATAGATGTGCTGGCACTGTTGGGTTGAGCTGTGGCATCTGGGCAGGGCATATTCTGAACCCTCAGTAGGGCTCCTCTGTGCTGCTGGAGTAATAGAAAATATTTCTGAATAAAAGGGGTCGAGTCTGTCTTACCTGTGCATCACTTTTTCATTTCAACAGCTGGAGGCAGGTGATCTACCTGGAAAGTAGTATTTTAGTGGAAAAAGTAGTGTAAATAATCAGTATTTCTGCCCAGGCTGCCAAGCATTAAGTCAGCTTTTAGTCAACATGACAGATGCATCTTTATCCTCAGTGCTCTGGGATAAATTCAGGGTTCTAATTCTGCAAACTTCCAGGCTGGTGAGGTTCCAATCATGCAGACACTTTTTAGTTTCCCACCTTTGTGTCAGACATCTTCAAGCCTGAGGAAACTTAAACCAGAATTACTGTTCTCTTAAAAGGATCAAGAATGCAAGTCAAAAATCACAGTTCTGCCCAGTGGCATCTCTGGTTGTGGGGATTTCTGTACTTATTACAGGAGGAGCAGCACTCAAGTGACAGAGATGGACACTGGTACACAAAGGTTCAAAAAGCAAGATAAAAAAATAGAAGTAATCCTGTGTTTTTATCTCAAACTTTATTCAGTCTAAAAAAAAGGAGAGTAGTACTTTAAAGCTGATCATTCCTCAATGTTTTTGGATTTTTTGAAGCATTTTGCATTCTCCTTTAACAAGGGGTGCTGCAAAATAAATCTGAAACCAGAAAAGGAATGGTGTACTGAGATTTGGGAGGAAAACACTGCCCTGCTCTGTGAATTCTGTATGATATTCTTAGGAATTGGTAGAGCTTGTGAAACATGTCATCTGCTCTGATCCATATAGATTTGTGTGTACACTGCTTTGTCAGAAATAACAAGCTCTTGTTCAGAACACCAGGGACCAAAGCAAAGCAGAAATATTAACATTAATGTCTTGTTTTGATAAACACCCTTTTTAAAATCTGACAATTCTTGACTTTCCTTTTCTCATTTAAAATATAGAGTGGAAGACTGAGGCAAAACTTGTGTTTTTATATCAAAACCAAAAGCAATCTTAAAAAGTCTATAGCTGTTTTTATAGTTGCTATGTATTATTTACCTTTAGTGGTATATTAAATGCCTGATTTGCACACAGATTAACATGCTTAATTATTGCACAGACACAGTAGTAACCTGTGTGGGGTTTTTTAAGAGTTGTATTTAATATGAACCCAAACTCCTGAACTCAATTTTCAGCCATTCTCATAATCACATTAATGTGCACATTGATGTGGTTTAAAGTTTGCTTTTAGTCTTGTGCTGACCATTCATAGAAGCTGTTGATTTCCCTGGACCGGATTTAAACCCAAAAAAAAAAAAAAAGTCAGAAATTAAAACCTCATTTAGGAGACAGAAATGTTGAAGGGAACCTTAACTTGAGCACAACAATCTAGCAGCTTCTAGTTCTCAGCTGCATAATATACCTCCCCTCAGCATCTGTTCCATATTGACAAGTGTGTGGAGGTGGTAATCTTACTCTTTTTTTCCCTCCTCTCCAACCAAATGTCATGGGAAATAATGTTGAGTGGGTAATACCCTTCTGTTTTGCTGGGAACAAGCTTGCAGGATATTCATTTGAGACCCTCTCATGGCTGATCCTAATTGACTTGTGTAATTGAAAAGGGAGAGCTCAGTTCTCTCTGGAGGAGGAAATGTCTGTCTGCTGAAGGTGCCCAGCTGGGATGGTACCTGTAGGCCAGGGAAAAGCTCTCAGCATTGCTTTTCTCCTTCTGCCCCCTCAAAACAAAGCAGAGACAATGTTTGAAATGGGGAGATTACAAGGATGTGTGGTAGTTGCACGTGGATCCTTTAAAAAGGAAAAGTGGAGTTTTAACTAAAACCCAATTAATTCTATTTAATTTGTTTTTTCTTTAATGCTTGTGAATATAAGTGAAGCTTTTTCTGTAGGTGAAGGATGCCTTGCACAGTCTCTATCCTGTATGCCCTCTTCATTAGCTTAGCATAATTGAGCCCTTTAAAAGCTCTTAAGTTCAGCAAGATTTAGCTGAAATTCCCATCAAGAAACGCCTCAGACCGGGTGTGATAACCCCCAACTTGAACCTCGTACACTTGAAATCTAATTTTAGAGCATTTTCTTCAAGAGTCTTTTTAAGGAAACAATGTGCTTTTCTTGGCAATTCAGACAAAAGTTTCTAAAGCCTAAATCCGGCAGCTGAGGGAGAACTTTCCTGAGGCATTTGGAATCTAATTAACTCAAGTCGCCCATTGCAGCTTAGTAGGTATCACCTATGACTGCTTTTCCACACTTAGTATCTGCTGGAACCTTTACCAGATTATTATATAATACTTTTCAACATAATTCTAAAGCTTCATTGGAAAGAAAAGAATAAAATTGTATCTGTCCCTACGACAAGAAAACTCTTAACTAGAGCACCTTAGGCACATGAAAATGGTCTGTTGCCCTACTTTTAGCAACTTTTCGTTTCTTCAAGTGGTTTTTTGGACATTCTTGAGTAGAAAACAATTGGTTTTTGAGAAGTAGCTGAGATTTGAGGAGTATTTCAGTATTTCAATCTTAGCATTTCAGTTTCAGAAATCAAATACTTCCCAGTAAGGTAAATACACTGGGAAAACTGTCCAAACTTAGTTCTGTTGTAGAAGTTGCTGTTGAAGGAGATGGGAAAACATCTTGAGATGTAGTTTGAAAAATAATTAGCTGGTGCTGTGTAGTAGTTGATTTGTGCTTCTCTGATTGCAAAGCAAGCCCAGTTTGCATCTGTCCTACCCAAGGAAAATAAGCAGTGGACAGTCTGGAAATCCAGGGAAAAGGTGTCATTCCTACTCCACCTGTGGGGAATGGAGGGAGAAGGCTTTGAAGCTGAGAACTGTGTGGATAAGTGTTTGAATATTTAATTCTGTGGTTACTGTGAGAAATTGAATTGGCCTAATCTCAGCACTCAAATCCTAAAAATGACATTTCACTCCTGGGACCTGCAGTGATGCCTAAAGGATGGGAATGTGTTCACTGTGCCCCTGGGGAGCTCAGAGCATTGCTGTGCCTCTGGAGAAGCTGGAGGAGAACACAGCATTCCTCCTCCCTTCAGAGAAGGACATCTTTCATTTTGTCACTGATGAAATCCTGCATGGAAGGTGCACATTGATGATGAAAGGCCAAGATGGAGGCAGTGGGCTGGGGATTAGTGGCTCTTTGCAAACCCTCTCCCCTCACTCTACTCATAGAAGTTGACTGGGATAGCAGTAAAAAGTAGAATTTGCTGAAGTTTCTTTTCTCTGGGAAGTTGAAATACTGATTTTCATGAACTACCTTGGCAACTCCTTTGTCTTAGGAGCTGATCTTTATGCCAGGCAGTGCAAAGCAAACCTCTGTAAAAGGAGATACCCTAAGCAAGAGTTTGGCTAAGAGCTGCTATGGCTTAAAGCTTCACCTCCACATTTAGTCACCTTTTAGTTTTCTTCTATATTTTTCAAGGAATTCTGATCTTATTTCTTTGTTTTCTTCAATGCACAACTTCTGCAGGGTTCTGTATTATCTTTGTGAACTCACAGTTTAAGTTTTGAGTTAGAAAAAGTTACTGGAGACACAGTCCAAGACAAACCACTGTTCCCTCAGGGGATTTTTGACTTCTGAGCCTGTGTTTGCATTCCTGCAGGTGATGATAATGGGAAGAAGGCCAACAACCCCAACCACTGTAACTGCATCATAGACCAAATCTTCACAGGCGGACTGCAGTCGGATGTTACCTGTCAAGTCTGCCAGTAAGTCACTTCTCCTGATCCTGGCCTCATCTGAATCTGCACCCCCTCCAGTGCACTGCACTGAACCTTTCCTCTCTTGAATACCAGTAAATACCAGCAGAACTGCAGAAAGACAAGACCTGTGTAAGTGCAGCACCATGAGGCACCAGCACAGACTTCCCAGAGAAGCTGTGGCTGCCCCATCCCTGAGAGTGTTCAGTGCCAGCCTGGATGCAGCTCTGAGCAGCCTGGTCTAGTGGAAAATGTCCCAACCCACAGGAAGGGCTGGAATGAGTTGATCTTGAAGGTCTCTTCCAACCAAACCATGCTGGGGCTCTCTAATTCTATCAACTAAATGCAATCAGTTACCAGTTAACTGTCACATACCAAGATGTACCTAAAAAGCTGCATGGAAAGTGCCACAGGCTTATGCACACAAACCTTTTACTAGTATGGCAAAGGTTGTGTTTTCCAAGTTCATAAGGAAAATACTTCCAAGATCTCTTTGAATTTCAAAATACATAATTGCAGCTACATATGAAGAAAATTCTGATATAGAACCACATTTTCCTTCAGTCAGGAGCCTCCTGTATCATCGGGAAAGGTTTCAAAGAAGCTGATGCTTAATGTAATCTCAGGTACCAGAAAAAAAAGCCTTTACAAGAGTATGGAAAAATGTATTTATTGTTCTGTTCTGTACTGGAACAAGTTGACTTCTCTTTGGAGAGGTTTGGTGTTGCCATAGTGCAGAAGTCAGAGTTCTTGTTTTTTGTTCTGCCTTGCATTCTTGCTGTCCTGCACATGGGCTGGGCTTGTTTGAATCTGCTTTTATTCAGTTTTCTGGAGGGATTTGCAAAAAATTTACTGTAAGAAAAACATAAGAAATTTTGTTCTTTGCCTGGTAGAGCACAGAATCCTTAAGTGATAATGCAAAGCTTGATTTGTTATGACACAATATTAACATTGATGAAGCTTTGACAGAAGAAGTTTTCTTTAAAAAATTGACAACTTTTGCACAAAAGAAACAGGTGAAAAAGGTAGAATATTGAAGGCTTAATTAGATTGCAGAGTGAAAGACACTAGTTTTAGGGGAAGGGAGAACTCAAAAAATAAACATAACAGGGAGCTTAGACCCCCTGAAGTTCTCTTAAAAATGGATGCTGGAAGAAAAGATTAGAGTCAATAGCAGTTAAAATTTTGAGCAGCTTTTCCCACAGTCTGGCTCTTTGCTTGTCTTCAGCTGTCTTTGGAGAACTCTGATGGAGAACACGAGCTACTGCTTGGTGCAGGTATTCTTTGGCCTCTCAAATCCCAGAGGCTGTAGGAGATGCTGAGAGGAACTGCAAAGCTGAATTCAGTGCATTGCTGGACGGCAAAAGTATTTTTAAAGAGCCTTCTCTTTTTTGAGGTAGCCTTAAGCACCATCTTCCATGTCTTGAGCAGACAAGACCAGCGTCTAAACTACTAAACTAGTTGGATGGCACATAGCTGTTGTCACAGATGTTAACTGGTTTATACTGGTCAGTAGTGCTTCTGTCTCAGAGCAGCTCTGCTTTGGGTCTCAGGCCCCCAGCGAGTGGAAGAATGTCTTAAATACTTTTATTTTGTATTTAGTACATCACATCCATTTCCCCAAACATGCAGCTTTTAAATATTCAGGGAAGCAATCAATTGTGGGAAACCACTCTGGAGCAGTTCTGTTTTCTGTCATCTCTGAGTGCCCTCTAGGGGTGATGGAGATCCCAAAGTCCTTCAAATTAAATACCTATAGTGCACCCCAAAGCAAGAGAGAAACTGCTTCTTTGGCTTCCTTTAAAGGTGTTTGGAACCCTTCTCTTCCCCACAGTGGCGTTTCCACGACGATAGACCCGTTCTGGGACATCAGTTTGGATCTGCCAGGCTCTTCCACCCCCTTCTGGCCGCTGAGTCCGGGCAGCGACGGCAGCGTCGTCAATGGGGAAAGCCACGTGTCGGGCACCACCACCCTCACAGACTGCTTGAGAAGGTATGGCCTGCCACAAACACACCTTGGCCTTGGACAAAGGCAATTTGGCTTCATCTTGCTCTCCAGGTGGCTCTGAACACTGGGATTAAGTGATGCTTTGTCACAGCTCTGTCCCCAAACAGTATTTTTACACATATTTTTGGTTTTCGCATGTAAGAAGGCTCAGAGCAACAAGAAGCACTCAAAGCCTTTTGCCACATGATGTAACAATAAAACAAATTTTGCATTGCCTGCTGCCAGGCAATGTGATTTCACATGATATAAATCACTGATGTCTCTCTCCATGTTCTTGGTTCTGGTAGCTGAGGAGGCACGTGAAAAGAGTTTATATTGCATTTAATATTTATCTAAATTCTAACACCAAGTAGGAATCAGATTTTGCTTAGAGCACAACTCAGAGTCAGCTACTGCCAGCTTAGTTGCAGATATGCCATTAAGGATTAAAGGAATGGAGCTTTCAAAAAGAAAAGGTAATTCTGAGGCTGACACTTAGGCATCTTGGAAACAGGTACCTGGGGAGAAGGTTATGCCTTTGTGTACAGCTCACTTGGATCTTTCAGCAGATCTGAAAGTCATTCTCTTGTGGCAAATGCAGATATTTGCCTGAGGAAGAGGTTACCTGGAGCCTGGGGCAAAGCTAATCCTCCTGAAATAAAAATTCATAGTCTTTAACATCTGATTTCTAATCTGCTTGACACCGTTAAGATCAATAGTTTTAAGGAAAGGAGGGAATTAGTACAAATGAAAAATTGCTGATGCAGGAAGACATCAGAGGCAAAAGCAATTGAATTCTGGTGATTTTCTTCAACATAGAGATTAGTAGAATTACAGTTGATTATAGGGAAGGGAAAAACATCCATGTTCAAAGATACTTCCAAAAAGTATGGATTTTGGAAGGAAGTTGCACTCTAATGGATAAAGAGGATGGGTTTGTGTTTTTATCCAAAAGTTAGCAAGAAAAAAGATGTGTAACTTCATGTCAGTGTGGCCATGCAGCTGAATTTGACCTGAAGAAGGAAGGATTGAACAGGAATGTCACACAAAAATGGAAATACAAGGGCATTCCAAACAACTATCAGAGCAAGTTTAGGAGCCTTTTTAGAAACTTAAGGGAAAACAGATAGAAAACAAAAAAAAGAAAAACAAACCAGAGAATGATGGCACATTCCAGGTAAAGGAAATCTTGTTAATTAATGAGGAAGCTGTGATGCCATTTAGTGCTGGAGGCTGCTTTGGCCATAGTCAGAATGAGAGTGAGGGACAAACTGACACCGTGTTGCCCTCACATTCTTCATGTGCATTAATGAAAAAGTTTTAACTATATTTTGAAATACTTCATCTCAAAAATCCTCTGTTACAAGGCAGCCTCTGGGGAAATGGTTGATTTGCCCTGTGGAAATCTAAATTTGGGGGAAAGGACTGAGAAAGCAAAGTCCGTGGTCCTGGCCTTTCTGTGCTGATTTTCTGGAAAATAAAGATTTTGCTTTAGTTTATAGTGAGAATATTGAGGTAATCCATTTTCTGTGAACACTTCCCTGTTCCCTAATGGTCTCTCCCCATGGCTCCTTTGAGCAGTTCTGTCTGAAAATTTTGGAAGAGATTTTTCTAGTTGTCAGCAAAGGTTTTTTAGAAGGGTATCTGTATTTTGAAAAGAACTTTGTGTTTACAGGTCTTTCCATCTCAGAGCTTTGATCCCAGCCCTCGAGGGCTACAAGGTAGAATAGTGTGTTGCAGAAGAGTGTCTTCCATACCAATGTTTTTGGGTTTGAAAACAAAAGATTTTTCTTTGCTTTCTGTATGAAAATGATCTGCTCTGCTGTAGGAGATGAACTAAAACTGAGCTCCTTTCTCAGCCACTGATTCACTTCAGTGCAAGTTAGAGCAATGATCCATATCACATTTGGATATCTGAGCCATAGCACTTTACATTATTATGGTTTTATTGTAGAATTTCCCAAAATTACTTAAAACCCACTGGCTCTTGTCTCTTGTGCCAGTGACCCACAAGTAAAATCGTTTTCAGCACATGTCAAAAACCATCTGATTGTTTTGTGCTTTCCTTTGCTTTTCAATATTTTTTTAGGTTTACAAGGCCAGAACATCTAGGAAGCAGTGCCAAAATCAAATGTAGTGGTTGCCATAGCTACCAAGAATCTACCAAACAACTCACTATGAAGAAGTTACCCATTGTGGCCTGTTTTCATCTCAAAGTAAGTTCACAGGGGGCCAACAGAGCAGAGGATGTGATTTCCTCTCTCAGAGGATGAGCTGAATTCTTGGATGTGTTTTCTGACTAAATTTTTATGATATAAATTAATATAGAGAACATATTGCCTTGCCCAGCTAGATTTTCTATTAAGATAGTGTTTCATTATGTCTGATGTAGCTTTGCAGTGTGTCTGGGGAAACTTAACCAGCTTGAATCTAGAGACAGAATGGAAGGCTGGTCCAAAACCTGAACCAGCACAGAAACCAATCTCCAGTTACACTCCCTCATCCTACAGGGTACAATTTTTACACTTTCACTGAAAGATTGCCACTGTATTGAAGGAAAAGCATGGAAAAGTTCTGATACCAATTTTCCCAACTGCAGTGAAGTTTTAAACATTTTATACATTTCCAAAGCAGATGTCACGTGAAATTATGGCAGATAATGTCACAGTTGTGGCACTTGGATAGTTCAGTCCTATTCAATTTCTGTCTGAAATGTGGTGTAAAGTGAGCAGCTGTCACAGCAGGTGAAGTCACTCTGTCAAGAGGCAAAGGGTCCTTGGAAAGTGATGCCACATCCTGGAAAAAGGTGTTACAGGTGGGAATTCACAGGCCTTCCCTTTGGGACAGTCATGGCTGCAGGTGTTCATCCCCACCAGCTTCTTCAGCTGCATCTTTGCCACTGACCATGAGGATGTGCAAAGTCACATGCCAAAGATGTTATAGCCCAACCAGTTCCTTTGTTTTAATTTGGTTTCCTGAAGGACATTTTTTCATATCTGAATTGAGGTTTCAGGCGTGCTTGGCTTTTGGAGGCAATTTTGGCCTTTTGTTTTTATTGCTATAGAGTAGTTAACAAGACAGACCTTCATGATTCTGCCCTTTAGGCAAGTCAAGGTGAATGTGCTCCACTCCTTTCCTACACTTTCAGTATTTATGTTGTCCCAAATGACTGCAGATTTTTTTGAAAATAAATTACTTTTCCTAAGTGACTGTGTTGTCCTGTCTATGCAAAATGCAAATTTCATTTTGTGTGTTAATGCAAGAGAGAAACACAAAAGATAGGAATTACAGAAGTCTCAGCTTTTCACATCTGGATCTGTTGCTAGGAAATTGCCACAGCATCACAATTGGAAAATAATTAACTTGAAGTGTAAATAGAGCAGAATTTCTGAGAAATGGAGAGGGAAGCTGCCTTTATGTAGACACTCATTCATCTCTTTCTGGTATTTGTTCTTGTTTCTATTTAATGTTCAATGAAGGAGATGAGGAGAGGATGGTGGGTATTGCAGGCCCCTTTTGGCTGAGGGACAAGGCTTTTTTTGTTAGCATATTCCATTTTTTGCCTTGATTTGAATGGATATTCCTGTGTAGGCTTGACTCCTGTCACTTAAGATGATTGGAGGGGTGGATTCAGAGTGTGAATTTGAAGGCAAACTCTGTTATCACCAGTTCTGTGAGCCAGGGTAGGCAGCAGCCATGGGTTGGAACAGCTCTGGTGCAAATGAAATTTGGGTAAAGGCTCTGTGTGCTCTCCCTGTTTAATATATCTTTTCTTTGATGTCAGGCAGGAATAAGTTTGTATGCATAGATATCAAGGTGTATAATCTAATTAATACTGTATTAACATTGAGCCCACAAATGGTGGTTTATTTTCCTGGTAGAAATATGTGGTTATTTACATGGACATTCCCAGAGAGCTTCTAGGAAAAATCTAGGGCTGTCCCTGCATAGTGACTGCTAATGTGCTTTCATGTTATTGTTTCTCAGCTTAGGACATTTATAAAAGACATAAAAATTAACTTTTCTCTAAAGAAAAATCCTCTTGCCTTTGCCTGCAGCGGTTTGAACACTCAGCCAAACTGAGGCGGAAGATCACTACGTATGTCTCGTTTCCACTGGAGCTGGACATGACACCTTTCATGGCTTCCAGGTGGGTCCCAAATCCAAAACTCCCCACAGACTGAGCAGAACTGGTTCCCAGTTTATACATGTGCAGCACAGAATATGGAGCATACTTGAGAGGGTACAGAGTCTGTGGGGGTATTTTTGCCATGAGCTTCTCTGTGGAAGGTGTAGCTTGTCTAAACCCATTTTTAGATAAACTCTTCAGTTTCATGTGCCTGAAAAGGATTTCTATTTAAACATTGTGGTGGGGTTCTTTAATGGGTGTTATGTTTTTGATTGCTTGTTAAATTTATAGACCCAGATCCATCCTGCCTTCAAATCCTTGCTTTGGTCCCCTCAGTGCCCACCCACCTGCTATCCTGTGCAGTTGGCCAGAACACAGCCAACCTAATCCCTAACCAGTATTCATGAAGTTATAAAAATCCTTCCTCTTTATTCCTGCACATATGCAAATCTGGGGGGTTTTGTTTAGTACCTTCAACTTCTGTTTAGAAAATGCTGCAAGAAGCAAAAACACAGTCCAGATTAAAATAGAAACAGCAAGACTTCTCCCACCTCCCAGGTTTGTGGAAGACATGGCATTTATTTAAATGCACCTTTATGAAAGGAATTTCATCAGCTTAATTAAAAAGTATTTGTCAAGTATTCATGCAAATATGCAAGAGGATATTCAGATTTAATTTATATCTGAAGCGGTGCAGAAAGCCCCAGACCATGGTATCTCTTAACAGAAAGACTCTATTTGATGCTGAAATTTTACTTAAAATTTCAAGCTTTGCCTGCACTCCTCATTTCCCAGGAAAAAAAGTAGATGCTTCTACCAAGAGAGAAAGGAGAGCCTTGAAGCTCTGTTAAATACTGTTATATTAAGAATATATGGTTTATTCCAATATATTCTGGAGATTTTGAGACTTCCTTGTTCCTCTGTGGTGAATTCTCCCTGGATTGAAAAGGCTCTGCTGATAAAAGGTATCCAACATAATGGAATAGAAATGGGATAATCAGCAGGCATAACTCAGTAGTCTGAATTTCACCAGCTAGGAAATCAACAGCATAATCCTATTGCTGCTGTCAAAACAAAATGAATTTACAAGTCAGAGCCGGGATGATTGACCCATCACAAGATAAAGGATTGATGTAATTAGATAATTTCCTGGGTTTCAAATACAAATCTTTTATTAACCTATTTTTAAGCTTTTTGGATGAAACATTTGACGTAAACAGATGTGTATTTGAAGCCTTGACCAGGAGGAGAAATGGTGTTAGTGATGTAGCACTGCTGTGAGAGCAAATAAAGCATCTTGAACATCCTAATCAACCCTTTGCTGCTTGGCTGGAATAAAGGACCTGGATTCAGCAAACGGGCTGTGTGTCATGTCAGAGCAATTTCCTGGGTTTGGGAAGCCACTGCTTTAAGTGACTGCATTTTTGTGTGTGTGTGTGTTGCAGTAAAGAGAGCAGAATGAACGGGCAGTACCAGCAGCCGACGGATAGTCTAAACAATGATAATAAGTAAGTGGTGCATTCCATGACTCCTATTGTGAAAGGTAGTTGCCTTCTAGAAGGAGATGGTGTTGCTTTATATCCTGCAGTGCCAGTGCATTACCATATCTGACAGCACAGTAAGTCTGAAATGTTGCAAAATAAAGCTTCACTCACTGCAGTTCCTGCCCTTCTATGGGGCTCTGGCAGTTGTTCCAGAGCTGAGGGTGATATCTCCAGTAAATGATCTGTGGGCAAAATTAAATGCTGTGGTCACAATATTTATTCCAAGGGATGGGTGTTGCCTTGAAATATTCCTCTTCCTATTGCTATGGCAAAGGCAGTTCCAGAGCACCAAAGAAAGTTAATAGAACATTGACACTCAAAGTCAAGAGTAGATCCCAATAATCCTGGGTCTGTTGGTCAGGTATTGATTCCAGTCAGAATAAATGATGGATAGGGGTGAGACTTGCTCAAGAATGTAAAGGGGGTGTAATTGAAACCAGTATCCATTCCTTTATGGGAATAGAAATGGTCACACAAACCTTACCTCTTCAGTTAAGTGAGGTTACAAGTTTCATTGCTGCTGTTGTGTATTTAAATTCAAGGCACTTGGTTTGCCACTAAAAGTTTCATTAAGAAACTGGAATCACACAGAGATGTAAAACCAAACTAAGCAGGTCTTAGTGCAGGTGTCACCCAGGCAGGAGCTGTGTGGGGCTGCAGCTTGAATCATTAGATGTGGGATGTTCAGTCGTGTTAGAAAAGGTCTGAAGGTAACACAGGTGATCACTTTGGAGGTTTGCACATGCCTTAACTAAGAAGCTGTTAAAAATTGAGCAGATTTAGGTAATGAGAGCAAAGACATGTGGATTCCTCAGGGATCTGGGTGCCAGGGAACATCTGGGGCAGTGTCAGAAAGCTCCAGCTGGGACTGAGGGTGCTGTCCATCCTAGTTGGATTCAAGGACTCCCCTGGAGAAGGTGGCTCTAAATCAGTGGCTCTGTAGGCAGTCAGTGAATAGGTGCCTTGTTGTGGCACCTCTGTGTCAAAAGAGTTCTGTGAATTTTGAGCTTGAGTAGGACAAGTGAGATTAGAGAGATTATTTTACCATTGTGTAGCTGTGCTTGTGTCACACACAGAGTGTGAGGGCAGCGTTTTATGAAAGAGTTAAAGAGAGTGGAAAATGCTTGAAAAGGAGCCACTAATGTATTTAAGACTGGAAACAAAATCTTACCTTAGAACAAAAGAGCCAAAGATTTCAGTCTTGCACTTTTAAAAAAAGAAAAGGAAAAAGGAAATGAGAGCAACTTGATTATCAGGATCTTTTTTGGAACATAGGTGGGTCTGTAGGTTTTCAGACCAATGGACAGCAGCTTCTGAAAGCTGGAAGTTGAGGCTGAATATATTCACTATTTCAAAATAAGTACAGGCTTTGTAGATTAAGGACAGTTAATCAGTTCAGCAGTTTATCATTAGAAATACCTAAGATTACCTCCTTCCCCATACCTCAAATGCATTTTATCTGGTTCACTAGACTAAATCAGGAAAGTAGAAAGTCAGTCTGGATGATCAGTGATCCTCTTCAGGAACACACCAGTATTGATCTATTTCAGAAGCAGATTTGGTAGCTGCTATTGGTAAAGCTGACAGTGGTCACCAGACTGGAGAGCTGCAGAAATAGCAAGACAGGAAAAGAAAAATGTTAATTTTTTTCCCTGGGCAAGGCCACCCTCTTCCCAGCTGGTGTTAAAGCTGGTGTTTTACTGATGCATCAGATCCTTTACTATTGCTCTGTTTTTTATAAACAAAAGTTTCTGCCTGCATGAAATGTCTCTTGTTTTCCCCCTTTTGATCACATATTCATGATGTGTTTTCTGTCCCAGGTATTCCTTGTTTGCAGTAGTTAATCACCAGGGAACCTTGGAGAGTGGGCACTATACCAGCTTCATCAGGCAGCACAAGGACCAGTGGTTCAAGTGTGATGATGCCATTATCACCAAGGCAAGCATTAAGGATGTGCTAGACAGTGAAGGGTAAGTGGTCCCCTGGGAAGGGGAAAGGAAGGCAAACTTGAACCTTTGTTGGGTTTTCTTTACTTTTAAAAACTCCGTTTAATCATAGAGAAAAATAATTTCTCTCTTGAATATCCCCTGTAATGCTCAGTGCTCCAGCATTGAGACTGCACAATTGTATTTATACATAATTGCTTTATAAGCCTGGATTTGCTGAAGGGAGGGCAAGGGTGAGGGACATCAGATGACTCTGCAATGTCTGGAACTGGTGCCCATGTCCAAACTCCTGCTAATGGAAGCAATTCTGAAAATCAAAGTGATGTGATCACCCAGTGCAGGAGCAGTGCTTACCTCTATGACACAATCCAATCAGTGCCTGCAGAACCTTTGGATTATTGTGAGTGTAAAAGGTTTGAAGAAAAGCCATGAAGGAAGTGCTGTGATCCAGAATAGCGAGGCTCTATGGGAGGCAGGTAGAGAACATGAGCTGTTTCTTAGCTCATGGCTTTAAATTAATCTCAGATTGACATTATGGCTTCTGATATTTATATTTCACGAGTTTTGGGAGGACAGAGCAGTATTTTTCAAGGGAAGCACCATAGTGTTCCTCATTTGAAGGAAGCACTGGGGACTGGTATATGTTCCAAGAAAAAAACAACTTAAAATCTGAAGTCTTCATTTTGCATTTTCAACTATGGACTTGGTACTGCAGAGAAGTTTTTACCATTCTTGTTTTAATTACTTGTGACATTTTCAGGGATTGCTGCAGGCACAATGTTCAGGTTGTAATTTTTTTAATAGATTTTTCCATTTTCCCTTTTTTTAAACATCCATCGGGAAGTAAAACCAGAATTCTGTAATACCTGAATTTTAGTGTTAAATGACTTGACAGGGAACTTCTGCTTTGAGGTGAGCAGAGCAATGAGTTTGTTGTAATTCAGTACCACATACCTGGTGCTCAGGTGGGGTTATGCCCATGGAAGAACCTGCCAGAGGCAAGGAGGAGAGGTTGTACAACACAACTATTGCCCATAAAGGCTGGTTTGAGCTTTGATGCATTTCCCTGACTCGGATAAAGGCTGAGTGTGAGGGAATCCATAGGGCTTGGATGGAATTATAACAATTGGAACATCACAGAAGTGCTCTGAGGAGTCACCAGTGGCTGTGTCAGTGTGGGAACAGGTTTGTGTGGAGATCAGTCCCCCTCTGTGTGACTGCTGCTCCCTTCTGTACCAGTACACACACAGCAATTAGGGACAGGAAGAATTGCATCCTTTAAAACACCAGATTTGAGTACAGATTGACACATGGGAGATTTGACTGGGACATGAGTGTTCAACCATGTGGCTGCTGCTTCATTTTGCTTCTGTTCCAGTAAATGGGAGCCAGTTTGCAGTAATCAAACTGATCTCTGGTAGTGTCACTCTAAAGCAACAGTTGCATCTTAAAGCACCTTTATTTTATGTCAAGTTAGTGTTAAATGGTTGCTGCCTGGCTGGGCACCAACAAAATCCAATATTCCAGAGTTTTCAGATCCTGAGTAGATTTTCATAGAATCATAGAATGGCCTGGCTAAGTAAAGACCTTAAATCTCATCTCACTCCAACCCCCTGCCATGGCAGGGACACCTTTCACCATCCCAGGTTGCTCCAAGCCCTGTCCCTGGCCTTGAACACTTCCAGGGATGGATGAGGCATCCATGGGGATCCTCTTTGATGTACAGCTGTTCAGTTCCCTGAGTTGCTGGTAAAATTATGTCAGCTGGCATCCCTCCTTCTCATCTCTGGTTAGTGGGGATTTCTTTTCAAATTGAAAAGAAAAGCAAAATTAACAACCCTCATGTCTTACAGTTGCATCAATTGAAACTCATCTGCTTTGGCACAGAACTGACACTGTCCCTGTGCTCTCTTCCAGATATTTGCTGTTCTATCACAAACAGTTCCTGGAGTATGAATAGCCTTATCCAGCAGCTTGTCAGATGTAAACAAGGAAGAAACAACGCAAGCCTTCTGAATCGACACACAAACCTACCTGAAATGAAAAGACCCATTACAAACCAACTCGCACTGAGCTGTAACAGGACCTACTTGACACTGACTCACAGCCTGGAGAGTGAGAAATGAACAATGTCCGACGTGTGTGCAGTCCCACGAGGACAGAAAGGGGGAAAAGAGGCTGCAGTCAGTCACTTAACAGAGGAAATATAAAATGAAAGGAATGCTCTGGGTGGGGGAAATGGGAGCAGAGGAGTCCGGGCACTGGTACATCTCCTGTGTTCCTCCAAAATGTGTGTGGGAAGGCAAAGGATTCTACCCTCATCTCCATAAAGCATCTTCTCCATTCGGTGCTTCAGCTCCAACGACCAATCATATAACAGTTAAAAATTAAAAATCCAAACCCATTTTTTTATGCATATGGGTCTGAAAGCAGTAGAGTGGAGGAGGAGGGGATGAGACAACTAAAGGACTTTGCAAGTATCTTTTTATTTGTGAATTTTAGTTATTAAATAAATACAGTATGAAACTATTAGGCTCTTTTTTTTCCAACAACCATAAAAGAAATCCTGGATTGTGGAACTGAAGCTGCAGTACTCAGACAGGTTTTCAAGCATGCCTGCTTGCACAGGTAACGTTCAATGCCATCGGACTGCTCATCCAAAAGCATCAGCACAGATTCTGTTGTTTGAGCCCTTTTTTGTTTTGTTTTCTATAAATAGCTATTTTCTTAATTTTTTTTCCTTTTATTCCCTTTTTTCACGAGAATGAAATTCATAAATGCAACCATCAGTAAAAATGAATGAATTGGCGTGTTTATACTGTAAGAGTGGTCTTGGTTCTTTTTGGTTTTGTTTCGTTTTGTTGTTTTTTTTTTTTTTAAATCTTGTGAATAAGTTTGAATTTCTCAAAAGCGCTTGTTTTGTTGTTCCTGGTTTTGGTTTGTTTTTTTTCCCCCCCTGCTGCCTTCCAAAGGTGGATTTATATATATCTGACACTTGAGAGAACCTCAGTGGTGAAAAATGTACCATCTGTTGGGAACGGTCGCTGCCGGGGCAGCTTTGAGCGATGGATCTGCTGCTACTGAGCCCTTCTGCAGTGCTCTAAGTAAACAACACATTTTCCTGGTGTATGCTAGGCTGGTATTGGTTCCTTGTATCCTCCCACACGGATTAACTCTTCACGTGCTCTTCTCCTCTTGCAGTGCCACAGCCTGTGTGTCGGTGTTGTCAGCTCGCAGCTCTGGGGCCTTTCCTCCCCCTCCATGGCTGTGGTGAGCTGCTCCTGCTGGATCTTGCTCTCAGGAGCTTGGGCTGAGGGTGAAATCACAGCCTGGGAGAGGAAGCCTTCAGAGCTGGAAGAGCAGAAATATCTTTGTTCTCCCTTGTGGAGAGGGTGAAGCATCAGTTGGGCACTGTGTAAGTTGGTGTCACACCACAGATCACAGAATGGCTTGGGTTGCACTTTCAGGATCATCTTGTTCCAGCCCCTGCCATGGCCAGGGCCACCTTCCGCTGTCCCAGGCTGCTCCAAGGCCCCTCCAGCCTGGCCTTGGACACTTCCAGGCATCCAGGGGCAGCCACAGCTTCTCTGATCTTTAACCTCTGCATAAATCCCCAGTCAGCCATTCCTCAGCTTTGCCAGTGTGGAAAGGCAGGGAGGGATCTCAGCCTTTAGTTCTGTGCTTTAGGAAGGACGTACAGCTGTCTAACCTGCTCGAGATAAATCAAAAACCAGGAAAATAAGGGAATTGAGTGTGTTTGGTTTTTAAATGAGCATCTGACAAGAGCAGCGGAACAGAAGGATGGTGAAATTCTTTTGCGCACAGACTGCAACAGTACGAGGAGGTTTTGTACATCTGTGCCAGGGCAAGGAGGAGGAAAGGGCGAGCTGCAGCATCTCGAGGAGCGTTGGGTGTGGTGTGGGGTGCCCCGGTGCTGCCCAGGCCATCGCCTTCCCTGCCTGTGTAACACATCCCGCCGGGGCAATTTTAATTTCCATCGCTACTCGGTTAAAGCGGAGCGATGGCTCGGTTTGAAACACGGCCGGGCAGCTGCAGCTCCTGCAGGAGAGGGGGCCCCTCCTTCCCCCCGAGCCCAGCACGGCATCGTGCGACGCTTTCTGCTGCTGTTTAATAATGCAGCAGCCTTGCGGAGGAACCAGGCTCTCGTCATTCCCAGCGCTGCTGCATTGGCATTCCCGGCTGGACGAGCGCTGCCACCGCGCGGCAGACACCCGGCAAGGGCTGAGGATGATGAGGATGAGGATGAGGATGATGATGAGGATGACTCCGGCGGTGCCTTCGCTTTGTGGCGCCGAGGTCTGAGCCTTGGCTGCCCTTTTAATGAATTCTGTTTTCCACAGCACACGCTCAGCCGGCAGAGCTGCTGCAGCCGGCTTTGTTAAGCCTTCAGGAACAAATTGTTTAGGGACGAGGCAGCCGTATAAATCACCCTTAATTTCTCCTCCCCGCCCATCTGGTGGAGAGGGTTCTGCTCTGTGCGGCTGCACGGGCGCAGATGGTTCTCGGGGGGAGCTTTCAAGGCTCTCTTTCTGGTTTCAAAAGCAGAATTTCTGGGGTATTAAAGGCTCTATTATTCTTTTCTTCCCCCCCTCTCCCGCCTGCCACCGCACCCCCCGTTTCTCTGCCCGAACCACACCAGGTTCTATTTCCAGCAGCAGTAAATCCACGCCGGCTCCGAGAGGAGGGGACAGCATTTTCCCTTTTCCTATAAAAATGGAAGAGCAGCTGCTGGCGTACGAGCAGCGCTACCCCTCATGCTGTTTTCTCTCAAACACACCCTTCTCTCCCCCTCCATCCCTTCAGGCAGCTCATGCACTAAATTATTTCTCCGTGGTTTTTCCGTGGAACTCCCTCAACATCGCCTGTAGGAAAACGCCACGGAACACAAAACCTCCCTGATGTGCTGACACTCAGCAGTGACAGGCTCCATCCTCCGCCAGTGACAGCTCCTCATCCGGGGGAGCAGTTTGGGCTTGACTTGTTTGTTTTGAGGTTCATTTTCTATCGGCACAGCTGGATCTGTTGGGAGGAGGCATTTGCAGAAATGACTGGAAACAAAGAGTGGTGCAGCGATGCAGGCTCACGGTGGGGTGTGTTCTGTTACCTGCCAGCACTGAACACAGGGACACAAAAATAGCCACAAAGTGGTTTAGCTACATTTTCATGTCCTTCAGCCACTCGATTAACGACAAAGATTTGCCTGATGCTGGTGCCTGATGGAAAAAGCAGAAATGTGAGAATTGGTTAAACCCTGGGCAGGGGTTCTTGCTCAGAATCAGTGCCCTTAATTCCATGTGATTTGACTCATCCCATCTGGAATTGCTGGTGTCCTGTACGTAGTGTCCCTCTAATATTGGAACTGATGTCTCCAGGTATGATCCTTTGGATCTGCTGGCCAGTGGCTCTAAAATGTGATGCCAAATCCATTGAATCCTCTTGGTTCTCCAGCTAAGGGTGTTTGTTATTTTCCTGCTAATTTGTTCAAGTTGCTTTGTGTTACCTTCTCTCTGCTGATAATTGTTGTTACATTCCCACAAGGAGGGGAGGGTGAGGGATGCTCTTCTCTTGTGTCTGGGAAGGACTTGGCTTCTGATGAGTGTTTTCCCAATTTTTGATGGTGACAGGAGGAGCAGCCCTGTCCCAACCGTGGCTTTGCCTGGGTGTGAGGTGAGTGGCCTCCTGAGCCAGCTGGGGCAGGAGCTGCTGGTGCCACACAGGGTGAGCTCCTGCTCTCACTGGCACAGGCATGGCCCTAAAATCCTTCTCATTTGAATAATTGATGCCTCTTGATCCTCCAGGGATGCCCTAATTTTAACACCGGTGGCACGTGTTCACTAATTCTGTCCTGTTTTTAAATAAGGTTCTGAATCTCTTGGTATAAATACCATGAGCAGGGGTTTCTGGAGGTGACACTTGCAGGTCTGTAGGGCACCAGAGCTGGGCTGGATCCATGTGTCCCCAGGAGCTCCCTGCTGGAAAGGGGCAGCTGGTGAGGCACTGGCTGCTGCTGAGGGTTTTCCTTCTCCTGAATTCCCTGTCCTTGCTGGGAAGTGCTTGAGCAGAGGGGGCACAGAGCTGGGGGCATTCCCAGCCCTGGTGCCAGGGGAGGATGTGCTGGTGCTGCCCCAAGGCAAAACCCTTCACCTGGAGCTCTGATTCCAGCTCTGACATTCACAGGATGTGGAACTGTGCAGTGAGTCCAGAGAGCTGCTCCAGGGCTGGAGCCCCTCTGCCATGGAGCCAGGCTGGGAATGTTCAGCTGCAGGAGAGAAGGCTCCAGGGAAACCTCAGAGCCCCTTCCAGGGCCTAAAGGGGCTCCAAGAGAGCTGGAGAGGGACTTGGGACAAGGGCATGGAGGGACAGGACAAGGCTTCAAACTGCCAGAGAGCAGGGTTGGATGGGATATTGGGAAGAAATTCCTCTCTGTGAGGATGGTGAAGTCCTGGCACAGGGTGCCCAGAGAAGCTGAGGCTGCCCCTGGATCCCTGGAAGTGTCCAAGGCCAGGTTGGATGAGGCTTGGAGCACTCTGGGATAGAGGAAGGTGTCCCTGCCATGGCAGAGGGGTGGAATGGGATAATATTTAAAATTTCTTCCAACCCAAACCATCTTGGGATTCTCCCTGCAGAGTCTGGGAAGGGAAACCCAGAGGAGGAAGAGATGTGGGGCTTTTGGTGCTGGGGGGAGCTGAGCCCCAGTGAGGGTGGGGGACAGGGGGCTGCAGGAGGGCAGAAGGAGCAGGAAAAGCCAAGGAGGCTTTGGAGGTCTGAGCACGAACAGGAACCTGAGGAGCAGAGCAGGAATGCAAAGAGAGGCTGAAGGAGGCAGGACATGAATGGCAGAGTAAGAGATGGTGGCAGGGCAGGAGAGAGGCTGGGCTGGAACAGGAACTGAGAGCCTGGGGAAGCTGAGGGAGAGATTTTAATCTATGCCAGGGCACAGAATGAGGGAGAGCTGAGGCTGAGCAGGGGTGGAGGCCAAGGTGACTTCTGGGACTGAAAGATTTTTTGAATTCTTGATGAATTGGGTTGCTATTGATGCCACAGGATTTGGGGCCATGGTGCTGGAGGCTGTGGGAGCTGAGGCTGAGGGGCAGGAAACCACAGGAACAGAGCAGGAGAGCAGAGGGCACTGGAGCAGATTCCACAGGAGGGAGCTGAGGCTGCTGTGGAGGTGCAGGGGAAGGTGCTGATGTGAGAGGGGAGGCCAAGAGGGCCTCCAGGTTTGCTGGGATATAGAGAAGCTCTGGAGGTTGGGAGGCCCATGGACTGTGGATGCTGAAAGTGAGAGGCTCAACCTCCCAGGTGATGCCTTTTTTAATGATAAGGAAGTATTTACATTTAAAGGAAGGTATAATATAGAATGGATAGAATCTGTTATAACTCTGCTCATGTTTTCTCCAGCTGTCTGCTTTCCCAGCACCAATTTGTGCATATATTGAATTACATTTATTCTTCCAAGTTTAAAGCTCTAGTTTGAGACAGTGGAGGGGATGGGCTCCTACCAGGAGTGATTCCTCACCAAACAAAAAATTCCTACAGTCTCCTTTAATGGAAATGAGGACTTCAAGTTACACATTGAAACCCCTATTTTTCCATGGTAGCTTTCAAAGACAGGTTAGATAAAAATATTCTCTCAAAGCAGCTTTAACTCCAGTGGATTCCTCACTTCTACAGCTCTTCAGAATAACCCAGGTCAGATATACATAAATCCAGTTTTGTAGAAAGGTCTCAGCCTTGGATAAATTTTCATATTGAAACCCAATTCCATTGTGGATTTTGGTGCCTGTCCCAGCTCCTCGTGTGCAGGATTGTGTCCTGTTCAAGAGGCAAAGCCTCACCATCACCCATGGCTGGAATCTGACACTGGAGCTTCCCACACTGCCTCCTTATAAATGTCACCAGTAAATCCTTGGATGCAATTCCATGTTTGAAACGTTTACAGCTGTGCTGGAAATTGTTCTGATACCTGAAGGAGTCTCCAAGCAGGGAGAGGTGAGCTCTCCATGGGGACCCGTGGGACACCACTGGATCCTTTGCAGGGATGCTGGTGCTGGAACCAGGATGAAAAGCCCCCATGAGATGTCCCCAATGGCACTGAGGTCAAGGTGGAGGATGAAGTCAGATGCTGCTACATGGGAAGCAACTTCTTTCACTGGGAGTGCACAAGAATAATGGGAATTGAGTTTCCTGAGTGGAAGTAAACAGCTCCGTGCAACCTCCAGGGCTGTCCTGGCACAGCCTGGGCTGGGTAGAGACTATTCCAGTCACTGGCAACAGAGGGTGAAGCAGCTTTGATTTGGGGGCAGAGGGAGCATCCCTCCATTCTGATCCCGTGCTGGAACATCCACTGTGGTCACACCATGGGTGTCTTCTCTTGGGAAGGAGAGCAGATGATTTTGAAGTGGCCGTCGTCAGGGCTGGGGATGGTCCCAGCGCTTCCCGTGCTGCAGATCCCAGAGAAGGAGGGAGCAGCCCTTTCCCCAGGGAGGCAGGAGCTGCTGGGGCAGGATTTGGTCTCTTGTACAGCAGAGCCATGTCCAGGGAAGCAGAAGCCACAGGTTTCCACTGGCTCTGGGATTCTGATGCTGGTGAATCCATCACCAACACTGCCAGCCTCCACCAGCCGATCTGCAAATAAACTCTGTGTCAGCTGAGGGGGTTTAGGAGCAGCTTTTACCTGAGAATGCTCTGAAGTGCTGCACTAGAGCCTCTGAAAAGCTGCTCCTGGAACTGGAGAGGACACCCAGCTCCCAGCTTGGATTCACTGCATCACCTAAAACACCCAGAAAATCTCTCCAAACCTGGGGGCTTATCTTTAAAATGACCCTTTGATCCTTGTGTCCTTCAGCAAGGCAGACAGGAATGGGACAGTCCTTGAGTGACTCTGGGTGTCACATTGGCCCATGGGGGCTTCCTCTGTGATTTTTGGCATTCATGGCTTTGAGGTGGATGTATGTAAACGTGGATATGTGTGATGTGTGTGCAGAAATAGGTAAGTAGGGAGTTTTTCTTTGGAAAGGCAGGAGAGAGGAAAAGGAGGAAGAATAAAAACACCTTTTCCATGTTGAATTGTTCCACATGATCCTTTCTCTTTTCCTCCCTTACACAAAGATCTGTGAAGCCTTTCTGGCTGCAGAACTAAAACTGTTTTTTTCTGGGACAGGTGTTTGTTTTGGAAGAGAGTTGGCTTTTCTCCCCTCAGCCTCTGGGTGGAAACTGGAGAGGCGCTGGGGCTTTGCACGAGTGACTGAGGGATTTTGGTGGAGAATCAGGCACAGGAGTTCAGTCCTGCTCCTCTTCCAGTCTCACACTCGTTTGTCTTTGCTTTTTCTCCCTCCCCTGTTAGAACTGGCTCTGCTTTCAGCCCCAGCCTGTCCCCAAAAGCTCCCCAAGCTCTCCCAGCGCCCCCAGCACCCACCTTTGGCAGGGTCCTCCCTGCAGTGGCAGGTCCCAGCGCTGGCCTGGCAGGACACCCCCTCTCCCTTCCTGCGCAGGTGAGTCCAGCCCAGGAGCAGGGAGCAGAGGAGGCTGCAGAGGCAGAGCCCCAGCAGCAGGTACAGCACCAGCCACGGGTCCTGCTCCGCGCATCCCTTCTGCTCCAGCACGGCCGCCGGCCCCGCGGGCGTGGCTGTGGGAGGAGAGATGGGCGAGCTCAGACACCTCTGGGGTCACTTTGGGATGGGGAAAGAGCCGACAGCAACTGTGCCCGCTTTGATAATGTGCATATAATTCCCACTGGGAAGGAATCTCACAGCAGTTCTGTCTCCCCTCTGTTCCATGGCGAGGTAGAGGAGATCCCTTCCCACACCCCATTGACACCCTGCCCCATCTTCGGGGATTGTTTCAACCCCAGTTTAGGACTCGGAGATCTTGGAGATTTTGGAGATCTCCCTGTTCCCTCCTGCTCCCCCTCCCCGAGGGCTGGGCCAGCTCAGCCGGGTGGGATCCACAGCTGCCAATTCCACCCTGGCTGCGGGAGCTGCCCCGCCTGTAAAACAGCAGCACAGCATGGGGGAAAGCCACTGTAGGATGGAGAAAATGGGAAAGAGATGCCCTGGCGGCTTTTTCCCAGCCCCAGTGAAATGGCAGCCCCCCAAAAGTGCAGTCCCCTGGCACAAAGGGGATGTTTTGGTGCCCCTTCCCCAACTCACGCTCGCAGGACAGGGCACATTCCTTTGGGTGCTGCCCGCACACCGAGCTGCACTCGATGCAGCTCTTCACGAGCTCGTCGTAGTAAAATCCAGGGTTCTTGTTGCAGTCCATGGACTCTGGGGGAGGAGAGGGGAAGGGAGGGAGATGATCACGGAGTCCTCAGCACATCCCCCCACCACCCCAAGGCCTGGATTCACGAGAGGATGAGCCCAGCTCACTGCTCTGGCAGGCACAGTGTGGGACCTGCTCCCTGCCCGAAGCGCTGACAACCTCTGCAGGGCTCCGGGGTGACAGATCCACGGGATTTGGGGTCGTGTTTGGCTGGAGAGCTGGGGAAAGGCAGCTGTGCTCACCTGGGAGCTCCTGCCTGCTTCTCTCAGAGCTGCTGCTGCTGCCCTGGGACTTGCACGGCTTTTTGGGACACCCCAAAAGCTGCCTCAGCACTGGCTCAGGATACAGGAATGGCATCTCCTGTCCCCAACAGGGAGATGTCCACTGAATGAACCTTGGGAGGGGGTGAAGCCACCTCAACCCATGACTCAAGGAAGGGAGTTGGCACAGGGTTGGGTACAGAACTCATTTGTCCCTTGTCCTCCTCCCCACCCGTTTCCAGGATATTCAGTGCCTCTCTCATGTCGGGGGTTTATCATGATCCACATCTGCTGAACCTGGTGGCTCCCAGCCCAGCCTTTGGAGGGTGGGGTGGCCCCAACAGGGGACACAACTGTTGGTGCAGCTTTGTGACCTCCGAAGGGAGCAGTGCAGAGGTGCAGGCACTTGGTCCTGGCCTCGCTCCTGAGCTGTTGCCAGCCCCAGCCCATCCATGGGAAGCTGTCACATCCCTCTGTGTTTTTGGCTTGAAGCTCTGAGCTAGCTCAGAGCCTGCCGTGGGGTTCACCCCAGGATCTGATCCTCCCTCCCATCTTTGCCCCATCCCTGACTCCTCCATCCAGGGATACCCCAGCACTCACCACACACAGCATCACACCTCCTGCTCTGGGACTGGCTGCACGCGAGGCTGCAGGGGATGCACTGGGAAACGAGGTTGTCCCAGTACTCCTGGTCAGTGCAGTTCTTCATGGCATCCTGCCCCACACCTGTCCCATCCATGGCTGCAAGACAGAGACACAGGTAGGCATGGGGTGGCCACCATGGGGCTGCTCTGCAGCCACCTTGTCCCTTTCTAGGGCTGGGACCCCTGGCAGGGAGATCCTGGCTGTCCCTCAGCCCTCTCTGCTCCCAGGCTTGAGCAAGAGCACACGGCCAAATCTGCTTTTCAAACTCTGTGTGTGTCCCAGGGGACACACAGAGAGCCCACCCTGGCTTAGAGGTGGCCCCGTGCTGTGCCCTGAGGGTCTGGGGGTCCCTGCACCCGCCAGTGGGAGCACAAACACTGGGGACTATTCCTGTCTTTACAGACAGTTCTGAAAATAGCAGAAACACGACCTTGTGTGTCATTCCTGCCCTTTCTCTTGGGTGTTCCGGTTTCTAGTGAAACCCAGGCTGATGTGTAAGACATTTCAGAGCAGCAGATGGAGGGAAATCTCCCCAGGAGACTTCAGGCACCAGTTTAACCAGTGCCAGCTGGAGGTGAACGTGCTCTTGTCCCTATCATGGGCTGCTTGTCCCATCCTCTCCTGCCCCTGTGCTCCCCGTGCCCTTGTGCACTGGATGTGAAGTCAGAGGCACAGCAGCAGCTCTCAGCAGCATAAAAACCTGCTCAGAAACTTACATTTTGAAGAACTGGCTGGCTGATAAAAGCTCCTGTGTTGTGTCACATGCGGGGTCTGCAGCCAGCGCGACAGAGCAGCTACAGGAAGCTCTGACCCAGCACCAGGGTGGCCCTGGTGGAAATGGAAATGTGCCCTTTGCTGCCTGAGAGGGCTCCAGGGAACCACATCCCTGCCCAGAGCCGTGCCTGGAGCCGCAGCTGTTTCCTGCAGGGGTGGGAGATGCTGGTGCTGACGGGGTCCAAAGGTTTAAAACTTCGCCAAAGTCGCAGCTTCAGCCTCTGTGTGCCCGAAGGCTGAGCTGCTGCTGTGGCAAAGCCAAACCTTTGATTTTTATACATCAATCCCCTGCACTCTGCCAGGATTTCTCCTCTCTCTGCAGGACTCAGGAGTGTGCAGAGATTGAGCATTTTGCACATCTGTCCTGTCACTGCCCACCCGGCACCTTCCCTGCAGAGGGGCTGAGGATGGGCTGGGTCCCACCTGGGGCAGCACACGTGAAACCCTCTCATTCCCAGGGAAAAATCCTCTCGGCACTGGGATGCCGGCCTGACACTCCCACCTGTTCAATTAACACTGCTATAAATTAAATAATGACTTTCTGTCGAGCTGACTGCAGACATCCCCCAGGCAGAGCGAGGCTCAGGCCATTGCACTCCCCGGATGCTCTTGGGACAAAATTTACACCCAGAGAAGCCCCCAGGGGTGGCAGGAAGCCCTGGGGATGGCAGGGAGCTGAGCCATCCTTGACCTAGGTAGGGTTTCCCATGGGACGACTGACGGGAAGCAGATCTGGGCTGTGTTAAAGCTGAGGGGCTGCAGGCTGGGAACCTCCCTCCCCTATTCTGCACGTCCGAGGAGAAGTTTACCCTTCTTGGAGAGTCCCAAGGTACATGTGGTGCTCCCAGCACGGACTTCTCAGCCATGGATTTTCCAGCAGAGCCAGGTGAGTCTTTCCCTCTGCCTCTCAACCACCAGGACCCTCTGAATTCCCCCACGGACCCCTCATGCCAGGCTTTACGCAACCACAGGACAAGGGGGAATGGCTTTAAGCTGAAGGAGAGTCGTTTTAGGTTTGCTATCAGGAAAAAAATTCTTCCCTGTGAGGGTGGTGAGGCCCTGGCATAGAGTGCCCAGAGGAGTTGTGGATTCCTCATCCCTGGAAGTGTCCAAGGCCAGGCTGGAGAGGGTTTGGATCAACCTGGGATAGTGGAAGGTGTCCCTGCCCGTGGCAGGGGGCTGGATGAGAATTAAGCTCAAACCATTCTGTGATTCCCTGTCCAGCCCCACAGCTCTGCCCACCTGCAGCAGGGTGGGAGCTCTGAGCAGACCCTGCACTCCCTGCTGGCCCTGGGAGCACGACCAGCCCCAAACCCTGGCACAGACAAAGCCCTGACCCCCATCCCTCCCCCTGCAGCCCCTCCATGGGGTAACTCACGTCTGACTCTCCAGCAGTCTCTACTCCCCCTCGGCTCCTGCCATGGCCCCACGAGCTGCAGCCCTGAGCCCCTGCACGCCTCAGAGGTTTATTATTAGAGAGATTTGATTAATGCCCGAGCTGTGCATTTCCTGGGGTTTCCCCTTGTCCCCTCCATGCAAATCGGCTGCACACTCAGCACCTTGCATTGGCTTGTGGGGTCCCTGGGCTGCTGGGGACAGGGTGGGGGGACACCAGGGACAGGGCCAGGTGTCCTGGGCCAGGTGGTCACATTTCAGAGGGCCTTGGTGGAGTGGGAGCTCTGCAGCTCCTGCTCTTGCATCACGGGACTGCAGCAGAATCCCAGAATCATAAAGGCTGGAAAAGTCCTCTAAGATCTTAGAGTCCAACCATCCCCCCAGCACTGCCATGTTCACTGGTGAACCACGTCCCCAAGTGCCACATTAAACACCTTCTAAATCCTTCCAGGGATGGTGATTCCACCACTGCCCTGGGCACCCTGTGCCAGTGGAAAGAAAACATCTTCTCGTTTCACTCTGTACAAAAGGCAATTGCCAGGACCAGGCATCTCTCGGAGCATCCATCCTTTCCATGTCCTCAGGATGGCCAGCACAAACCACTGTCCTGGCTCCTGCTCACAGCTCACAGAATGTCTCTGGAGCCCAATAAGGTGCCTTAAACACTGCTTTTCTCAGGTGCATCCATGTCTGGGAGGCAGGAGGGGTGTGCTATGTCCTGCATGGGCAAACGAGTCCCAGCTGGGCTCAGGGCACAAAGCATTAATAACGCATTAATAGCACATTAATAACACATTAATAGCACATTAATAACTCGGCTTGTTTTCACAGAGGGCAAGAGCCAGCTCTGCACTGCTGGCAGCCTCCAGAGGTTTGTCTCTGTTTCCTGCAGAGATGCTGGGCATGGCTTTGGCAGTGGTGCCAGGCAGAGGCACGAGGTGCTGAGAGCGTGGCAGAACAGTGACTCAGCTCAGCCCAGAGGGACCTTTCTGCAGAAGCAGCAGAAGGAGGAAGGAAGCAGCAATACCTGTTACTAAAAACACCCGTGGAACAGCATCAAGGGTTTTTCTGTTTGGTTCAAAAATTCCTATTTTGTTCTTGCCATGTGGAGTTGGAATGGAGAGGCCAGAGGACGTTTTGCTACTGTGTCCACTGCAGGGGCATTGGAGGCTGATCCTGCTCATGGGGAGCAGAGCCCAAAGAAGAGGAGCCCAGAATCTTGTGATGGATGTGGCCCATCACACCCCAGATCCTGCAGGAGGGTGGGAAGCAGCACTGGCACCATCCCATGGACCACAGGGCCTGGAACAAGGATCAGGAGAGGAGACACCAGAGCCACAGGGACACTGCCACATGCCACGTGTCGTGTATCTGGTAAAAAGGATGAGATCATTGCTGTGCTGGAGTCTCCCACAGGAGGGAAATCCTGATTTTTGGCATTGCCTGAGTTGGTTGGCTGTGGCAGAGCAGGGAGATGGCCCTGGAGAGATGGTCCCAGCCCGCTGGCTCTTGGGTTTTGCAGGGGAAACTCACCTCTGTAAATAGCACCAGAGACTTGCAGTTTCCACCCTGGTGAGCCTTCAAGAGGGAAGTGAGAAGCACTTGGGGGTGGTTTGTCCCTGCTCGCTGAGCAGGGATCAGGCAGTGTGCTTTCAGCTGTAGAATTCTGGGGCTGTGTGGACTGGAGCCCCATTTCCTTGGCCGTGTGCCCCAGTGGCCTCACCCTCTGTGCCCCAAACATCATCACCCCCTCCTACAGCCTCTGAGGATGCTCTGTGGCTCTCCAACACCTCCAGACATGGTCCCCCATGAGCTCCTGTCTCACAGCCAAGGCAGTGGCTGCCACCCTGCCCTGCCTGGGGTTGTTCCTGTGGTTTGGACAGACATCACCAGCCCCCTGTCCTGGATTTCTGGATTAAACCTTCCTTTGCTGAGATCACTGGTTCCCCAGAGCATCAACCAGCAGCTCCCCATGCATCCTCCCAGTGCCATGCATCCCTCTGCATGGCTTTGCATCCATCTGCATCCCCCCTGCATCCCCCCCACATCCTTTTGCATCCTTCAGTGCCCATCTGCACCTGGCTCTGGAGGTGCCACACTCTCTTTGGGGTGACAGAGCCCAGTTTTGTTTTTTGACAACAGAATCTATTTTTTCTGCTGGGCTCTTGCCCCAGCGGCAGTGCTGCAGGGAGAGCTGCAGGTAACAGGGAGGGTGGATATTTGGCTCTGAAAACTTTTAGGGGGTGTTTTGCCTTCCCCTTGAGCAGCTTTGCTGGGATGGCTTCCTCCCCTCAGCCCATCTGCTTTTAGCACTCGTGAGCCTTGGCCAGGACGTTTGCTCACACACGTGCTCCCTTTAGGACCCGAAAAAAAAAAAAAGAGTTGTGGGGGAAGAAGGGGAGGAGGAGCCTTTTTGGATCGAAACTGCCAACTGCGGGGCCGGGCTGAATGCAGACGGCTCCGAGGGCTCATTTCTGTCACCCCAATTCCCCGCGGAGGCGCCGGGGCCAGGATGTGCCTGTCCCTGGGCATCCCCCGTCCTGCCACCGTCACCTGGTGGCAAACCACAGAGTCACTGCGAGCCCAAACCCACGGGGCTGCTGCTGGGTTTGCCACCTGGGCTTCGGTGCATGACCCTGGGGATGCCCCGGGGCTCTGCAGAGGTGACCACCACGGTGACCACCATGGTGACCATCACGGTGACCATCAGGGTGTCCCTCAGTCATGGTCACCATCACGGTGACCATCACGGCGACCAGCACGGTGTCCATCAATCACGGTGTCCATAACGGTGACCATCAGGGTGTCCATCAATCACGGTGTCCATCACGGTGACCGGGTGTGCCGGTGGCCGGGTGTCCCCCCGCCCGGGCTGTTCTCCCCGGGCAGTCTGGGGGTGCGGCTCCTTCCCCCGGTCCCGCAGCCGGGCTGTGCGGATCTGTCCCCAGGAGATGGCACCCTTGGCCAGCCCAGCCCGGCTCCCGCTGGCTCCCGGGGCTCCGGCGGCGCCCGCAGCCCGAGAATCCTGCAGCCCTGCCAGGCCGAGGGGAATCACAATTTATAGGATGGTTGGGGTTGAAGGGACCTTAAAGCTCATCCAGTTCCTGCCCCTTTCCATGGGCAGGGGCACCTTCCACTATCCCAGGCTGCTCCAAGCCCCATCCAACCTGGCCTTGGACACTGCCATGTGTGGATGCAGCTCCTGCTCCTCCCTGGCACCTCTGTTTGCAGCAGCCCCCAGAGCCTGGGGGATTCAGGCCCCCCCCCACTGCTCCATTCCTCCCCTTGCTCCTCGTCCTGTCACCACCCCTGGGGCTGCAGTGGGCTGTCACCCCAAGGATGCTCAGCACCCACCGGTGTCTGGGCACTGTGGCAGCCCCTTGTGCTGAGGGTCTGACCCTCACAGAGGTTATGCCAGGGCTGTGGGTGAGCCCTGGGTGAGCCAGGCTCCAGAGGTGCCCCTGTGCATCAGCAGGGTGATGCTGCAACAGCTTCCTTGCCAAAACCCAGCACTGATCAGGAAAAGGGAAGCATTTTACCAAAACCCAGGCTGTGCTCAGGGCTGGCTCCCCAAACCCAGCTGCCAGCTGGAGACCAAGGATGGCCAGATGGGAAAAGACCTGGGCTGGCTGAGATGTGGCACAGAAAAGAGGAAAAAGCCCTAAAAATGTGTAGGGAAGGAGCAGGCAGAGGAGGCTTCAGTGCCAGGGCTGTGTGCTGAGGTGTAAAGCGTGGGTGGCGGATAAGGGAGATGAGTCAAAGAACAATCTTTGGCCAGAACAGCTGATCTGATTACGTGGAGTTTTGACCTGGTGGGAACAACTCCTTGTCCTCACTGCTGACTTCTCTCTGGAGAGGCGTTTTCCTGGCAGAACCCTCATGGGAAGGGGTTTGCAGCCTGCCCAGGCTCTCTGCTGTTAATATTTAACACTAAAACCCTGGGGAAATTCCAGAGGACTGGAGGGTGGCCAGTGGGAGTCAATTTAATATTTAAAAGGGATAAAAGGGCTGATCCTAGGAATTACAGGCCAGGTGAGGCTGATCGCCGTCCCTGCACAAATTATGGGCTGGGTAATTGAGGATACTGTCAGCCAAAAATTAGAAGCTAAAAATATAATTAAGGTCGTTAGCTTGGTTTCATGGATGGCAGCTCCTGTCGAGTGAGTCGGCTTTGGTTTTTGGCATGACTCTGGGCTGGCTGATAAAGCTAATTGTGCTGCTGCATTATAATGGGTTTCTCCAAAGTATTTAATTTAGGGCCATGTGACATTTTCATTTGTAAAACTTGTATTATATGGAGTCAGCAGAGCAGACATCCGACGGCTGCGCTGGCAGCTCCGGGGTGGTGGCCAAGGGGGCGAGCGATGGAGGAGGCTGAGAGCACTGGATTTTGCACAGGAAGATGTTTTTAGCAGGGTTGCTGAGGTGAGAGGGGGTTGCCAGGGCAGGCAGCCTCACAGAGGGATCCCCTCTGCCCAGCCCAGCAGACAAAAGGTGGAGAAACACGGGTGGGAACAAAAGATACGGATTTCCCTGCTAAAGCACAGCAAGGTCCGATGGCAGCAGCAGCCACTGATAATCCAACTGGGAGTGTAATTAATCCATTTTGGGTGAAAGGTATGAACTCGCAGACATTTGGCATCTCTGGACAAGAGGAAAGTTGTGCTTGGTGGGACAGGATTTGTTGTGGCTTCTGGGACATGCTCAAGCCTCTGCATGTGTGTGCAGCTTGCTCTGAACCATCCTCATGGGCTTTTCCAGGCTCATGTGAGTTACATCCTCCCCTCTGGACTGCATCAGCTGCAGCTGAATGCTGTGGATTTCCTCCAGTGGATGATTTGGGTCCTTTTATTTTTCCTAGTGGGAAAAATGGGATTGAACGGGGCCTGGAGCCACCTGGTCTAGTGGAAGGTGTCCCTGCCCATGGCAGGGAGTGGAACAAGATGGTCTTTAAGATCTCTTGCAACTTAAACCACTCTGATTCTGTGACAACTGGGCACAGAGCAGCCCAGGGCCTTCCTCTCCATCCAGGAAGGTGTTTTTCACCCCATATGGATTTCCACCCTGTAGGTCTCACCCCTATAAGACACATGACAGCATGAGGGGTATCCAAGCCTCCTTTGGTCAGTGTTTCCCTTGCCAGATGTTCCCCTGGCAGGGCTGTGGAGGGCTCTGGATCCCTGCACAGCCAGGGGCTGTGTCCAGCATCCTACACTGGGACTCCACTGGGAGCAGAGCAGGAGGAGGGGAGCCCTGTCAGGCGCCGCTCAGTCCAAGCCTGAATCCAGTGTGGAATCCCAGGGCTTGCCAGCTCCGAGCCATGGCTCCTGCCCTCTCCCCCGGGCATCCATCTGTCTGGCTCCACGCTAATGATGGCGAGCTGGCGGCACAGAGGCATTAAATGACTTGCCCAAGGTCCCGTGGGGAGTGATGGCCACCCGGGAGGAGCACCCGGCTGTCCTGCTCCTGTCCCAGCAGCGCCCAGCCCTGTGGAAAAATGTGCCACAGAGCAGGAAAAACACGGCACAGCCACATGGATCGTGTCCCCAAAACGGTGACATCCTGGTGAGCAGAGCCAATGGATGGGGCTGGTGAGTCTCCACACCATGACAGGAGCAGGTGCTGCTCTCCTCTCACCTGTGGGGTTTGGTGCTCCCTTTCCTGGAGCTGCAGGGTTTTGCCAGTGCCCTCCCCAGGCTGGGGCCAGCACAGCCCGTGCTGGTGACTAACACCTCCTGGTTTGCACCTTGTTTACCTGGCACTGGGGCTTCTTCTTGGAAGGCTGACTCACCATGGCACCTTCCTCCTCTGCCACCAGAGCTCCCTGACAAAAACTTTCCATTTTCCCATTGTTTAAATTGCCCTCATTTGAGAAAACTCCAGAAAAAAGCCGGCTCTTGGTTGAAGAGACATGGCAGCCCCAACCGGGCATTCCCACAGCGATGGCAATGGATGGATGATGGGGTGAGACACCCACTCCCACGGCACATGTTGGGGACCTCGATGCCACGGCTGTGCCAGGATTTGGGGCTCGCGGGGGATGTCACAGGCAGTGAGTTTCCAGAACGTGGCACACGGGCGAACGCCGGCTCCGCACGGCTGAATGCAGCCCGACAGGTTTGTGGAGAAGCCTGTCCCGTTGAGCTGGATTTTTGGAGAGGCTGGAGCCAGCCCCGGCAGCAGCCGCTTCCCGCGAGGCGCTGCCGGCTCCGGCAGAGCCGTGCACGGCGCCAGGTCACGGCCCCGAGCCCAGGGGCAGGCACAGCCTGAGGATGGGACACGCAGGACCTGCTCCGTGCTCCCTGCTCTGTGCCAACACTGTGCCCTATTCTGGGGAACAGTGCCCCATGGAAATAGGGAGAGAGCAGCCCTCTTCCCTCCAGGGTTCCTCCAGTCTGTGGGGTCCATGACCTGAGGAGGTGGAGAAGGGCTGGGGACTATGAGAAGAACACATGGAAGTGTCCGTGGAGCTGCAGAGAGGAAAAAAAAAAAATGCTGGGCATCTGTAGGAGCTGTGGGATGCAGGGCATGCCAGGTCCTCAGCAAGCAATGTGGCAGGGAATAATCCAACACTGGGGATGGCTGCAGGGAGGGAGGAAAGGGGAATCAAAGGACAAGAGCAGGTTGAGAAAATCATCCACTCTTCTCCAAGGAGCAGGATTTCCGCAGTCATGTGCCAGGTGAACCCTGGACCCACAGCGAGGGCAGCAGGGTCTGTACATTCCACAGGGGAAAAGCCTCTCTTCCTGGGGTAGGGAAAAACCTCTCTTACTGCATTTATAACATTAGGATCAAGGAAAAGGTGGGAAAATCCACCCCAAATGGTGACGTGTAGGGGTCTGGTGGCCACCCTCAGCCTGGGATCATCATGTGAGCTCCGGGCCAGGTGAGGATGCACTGGGGTCACTGGTGCTCTGCTGTCCCATCCCAATCCATGGCACACGGTGTGTGCTGCGAGTGGCCCTGGCAGGAGGGAGAGAGATGATTAAAGCTGCCTTTGATGAAGGAAAAATTAATAAACAAGCAGGCAATTGTGCTGGGCTTTATTTAGTTGGGATGACAGCGCGGAGCCGGCGTGGCGAGGCCGCTGAGGCCGGGTCCCACATCAAACAGCAGGACAGCGCCAGGCGTGAGGGGACCACGCCATCACCTCTTCTCCGACAAGTTTTTCCTGGTCCCAAAAATCCAGGAAGATCCATGTGTCTGTTCCTCACGGCAGGGCCCCATCCCACGCCGGCAGGGAACACTGGGATGAGCAGGAGATGTGCCATGGGGATGTCTGACTGTGGTAGGATGTGTATTGGGTGCACTTTGGAGATGCCACTTGGCACCTTTGCCCTGTTCCCCTGCTCCAAGGTCAGCATTCCCATCTCTCTCCTGACCCAGTGATGCTCCACAGGCACTGAGCTCCCTTCCCTGGTGCTTCTGTGCAGAACCCAGGGGCAGAGCTGGGAGGCCAAACCTGTGGCCCCACACCGGGTCCTTATCAGCCGGTCAGGAATATTTACCTGCCGGTTTCCACCGGATAGAAATTCACTGGACAAACAGGAGCTCCCAGCTGGCCCCAGGGCGGTGGCACAGCAGGGACGTGCACCCCTGTCCCTGCTTCATCCCTGGTTTGTCCTCAGTGCCACAGGTCACCGAGGTGCCACAGGAGGGTGAGGGACATTGTCCCCACCTAATCTGAGTGTCCTAGGGTTGGTGACCCCTGTGTGCCAGGGCTGGGGACAGGATTGTCACCCTGTGTCACCGTGTGTCCCACTGCTGGGGGCGGGCTGTGTGTGGGCTGTTTGGGGAGGTCACTGGGGGGCCAAGAGTGGGGGGCATCGGACAACTCCTACAAGGGGCTGAGCTGAGCTGAGCTGAGCTGGTCCAAGATAAACTGTGCTGAGCAAAGCCCGGTTGAGCTGAGACAGGCTGAAGAGAGCTGAGCTGGGACGAGCAGAGCCAAACCAAGCTGTGTCAGGCTAAGCCGAGCCGAGCTTATCCATGCCAGGCTGAGCCAAGTCAGGTTGAACTGACTTGGGCTGAAGGAAGCTGGGCTGGACTGAGCAGAGCCCAGCTGAGCCAAGATATGCCAAGCTGCGGTGGGCTGAGCTGAGCCAATCTGTGCCAGGCTGAGCTAAACCGAGCTGGGCCGATCCGATTCGAACCAAGCTGGGCTGAGCCAAACCGGGCTGAGCCGAACGAAGCCGGGCCGATCCGAACGGAGCCGAGCCGAGCCGAACGGAACCGAGCCGGGCCGAACGGAACCGAGACGGGCCGATCGGAGCCGAGCCGGGCCGATGGGGGCCGATCCCGCCCCAGCTGTCAGCGCACCGCCCCTCCCCCGCGGCCAAGGCGACCCCACCGCTCCCGTCCCTTTCCTTGCTTTCTATTGGCCAGCGCGGCCACTTATTAGGGGCGGAGGCGCGTTCCTATTGGCGGGCGGGCACGTCCGTCCGCGCCGCGGCCCCGCCCCCTTTTCCGCCTGGCTCCGCGGCGCTGGAAACTTTGCGGGCGGCGCAGTCGGGAGCGGCTCCCGCAGCGCCCGCACGCTCGGCCCGCCCAGCGCCGGCCTCCGGTCCCGCACCGCACCGACCCCCGCACCGCCTCTCACCGTCCCGCCCGGCTCCACACGGCGCGAGCAGCGCCGCCCCTCCGCGCTCCGCCGCCGCCCGGCCATGCGCGCCCGCTGAGCCGCAGCAAAAGCGGCCGCCCTGCGATTCGCTCCCTCTGTTGAATTTTTTTTTTTCCCCTGCTGTATTCGCTGGGGTTCTGTGTTGGTTTTTGCGTTCGCGTGACGCCCCCCGCGGGCGCGGGGCGGCGGCGATGGGCGCGGCGGCGGGCGGGCGCTCCGCGGGGCGCTGAGCGGGCGCGCAGCGGGCGCGGGCCGCGCCATGGCCGCCAAGGACAATCCCTGCAGGAAGTTCCAGGCCAACATCTTCAACAAGAGCAAGTGCCAGAACTGCTTCAAGCCCCGCGAGTCCCACCTGCTCAACGACGAGGATCTCAACCAGGTGGGATCTTACCCCAAAACCCGCTGTTTTCCCCCCAAAACCCAACCCCGTGTTCCGCCCCCCTGCCCGCCTCTCGGGTGCCCTGGGTCTTCGTGCGGTGTCCGCTGTCCCCGTGGGTAACCTGGGGTCCCGCAGGTACCTTGGGAGCCCCCTGGGTAGTTTAGGGTCCCATGGGTGTCCCGATGGATAGGTCAAGATCCGGTGGATAGTATAGGGTTCCATGGACGTCCTGGGGTCCCGTGGATAGGACAGGGTGCCACGCGTGCTGTCCCCGTGGTTGGCACAGGATCTCATGGGATCCCCAGGCGTCCCACGGGGTGCCTGCTGGACACAGATATTGTAGGGTCCTATGGGTGCCTGCTGCTCCTACAGATACCGTGGGATCAGGTCAGGGATGCTGTGGGGTCCCATGGATAGCACAGGTACCTACAGGTATCTCTCTATTCCATGGGGTGTTACGGAGCTCCAGGGGTGCTCCCTGGTCCCGTAGGGTATCTAGGAACTCCATGGCGTGTTCGCTGATCCTGCAGATATCCCAGGGACCCACAGGTATCCATGGATTCTGTGGGGTGTTCAGGAGCTCCACTGGTGCACTCTGCTCCCATAAAGTGTCCAAGAATCCCATAGGATGCCTGCTGACCCCAGGGGTGGTGCGTAGTCCCATGGGGTGCCTGCTGACCCCAGGGGTGGTGCGTAGTCCCATGGGGTGCCTGCTGACCCCACGGATAGCACAGGGCCCCATACGTATTTGTGGATCCCATGTGGTGTCCAGGAGCCCGTGGTTGCTCTCTGGTGCCATAAGGCATCCAATGATTCCTGCCGGTCCCTTTTGTAGTGTGTGGTCCCTTTGGGGTGCCTGCTGACCCCGTGGACAGCACAGGGACTCACAGGTGTTTGCGAAGCCTGTGGGATGTCCATGACCGCTTTGGGTACTCTGTGTCCCATAGGGTATCCAGAGATCCCATGGGATGCCTGCTGACCCCACAGATTCCCAGGTGTCCCACAGTGTGCCCACAGGTCCCTGAGGTCATGGCTCACCCCAGTGCCACCTCCCCTGGGGTCTCACCCTCTGAGGCCATTTGGGGCCCCGCACCAGCACTTGGGGTGACCCCATCCCCTCCTGGGGTGCAGGGCAGCAGGTGGGGGGTGTCCTGTGAGCTCCATCAGGCGATCCAGAAAGTCCCGGGAAAAACTCGGTTGAAAACAAAACGTCCCCTCCTGGACGTGCCGGACATGACCCCCCTGCTTTCCCGGGGGCATGGGAAGGGGACTCCAGCCCCTTTCCAAAAAGGGTTCAGCTCTGGGGGTCTGCCAGGGCTTGGCCTTCTTCCTCCTCTTCCTCCTCTTCCTCCTCTTCCTCCCAGGCCTCCCTCAGGCCCAAGGCCGGCGCTCCCATGACAGGGGGTGTTTGGGGCACGGGGGGCGTTTTTGGGGTGCGGGGCCCCGTCCGTGGTGTTGGGGTGAAGGGAACAGGGCCTCCCTCCCTCCTCCCACACCTTTCTGGGCCAGGGCTGCCATCCCCGCTCCCGATCCTATTATGGCAATGAGATCAGACATATTGCTGCGCTCGCTGGGGGGGGGGGGGGGGGGGGGGGCATCGTGAAATCTGAGGGCTAATATGGAAAAAATGTAACTGGAAAAAAATGCCGTGGTGTGTGCGGGAAAGGGGCGGGCGGCGCGGCCGTGCCCAGACAAAGGAGCCGTCCCGGAGGGGGCTCGGGAAGAGCCCCCCGCTCCCGGCCGGCCCCTTCCCGCTGCCCGGGGATAGCGCTGCCTCCTGGTGCAAAGCTTATTTACTTTTTTTGGGGGGGCTCAGGGCATCGCATGCTCTCCATAGTGCCTGCCCGCCCTGCCACCCACCTCTCTGGGGACCCAGGGACGCGTTTCGGGCAGCCCCTCGCTGGCTTTGTTCCCGTCGGGGTGGTGGGTGGCCCTGGGGGGCTGCACCCGCGTCCGGTTCCCATGGGTTCGGGGTCAGCCCCGCGGCCGGATCCAGGCCCTGGTGCGGGGGGCTCCGGTTGGGAAAACGGCGCAATCCTGCTCGGTTTCTCCCTTGCAGCTGGGGTGAAGTAATCCCGCTTTCCCAGATAAGATGGTGGCTGTGGTAGCGTGAGATGCACGCACGCACCTCCCGCCCTGCCCGCAGCTCCCCGTGCCCAGGAGCCCCCCGGCCGTGGCCACCCCGGCGCTTCCCCGCCTCTCTTCCCAGTCTGTGCCCCGTTTCGCAGCCTGGCTGGATGTGGGGGTGTGCTCACTCCGGAGCACACCCAGGAATAACGGTTCATTTAACAGCTCTGAATGTTTCTGCCTTTTAAACTCAAACATTTTAAGCTTGGGCTGGGTTGGGGGGGTCCCGCTCTGCAGCGTGGGGGCTCAGTGCCCAGCGTGTCCTGCTCACCCCGTGGACAGGGACGGCGTTGGTGATTACCTAGAGTCAGGCTGGAAAAGTCTTTTGGAGTCATCTGACCTTTGTACTTGGCTTGGAGGAAAGGTGAAGGTACTTCACACTTACGCACTCGTGTCTCTTTTGGATTTTTATTAGATAAAAATACCTGTGTGGGTGTCAGGAGCTGCCCCCGCTGCTTCCCGGGGTGCTGCAGGGGCGCTGGAGCCGCTCAGGGCAGAGACCCAGAGTGTGTTTGCAAAGAGTCACAAATATTTAGCGGTAGTAGTGGATTTCCGTCGTACTCGGGAACCAGCTTAGGAATGGGGCTGGGAGGGGGGAAATCCAGCCCCAAACATCAGGATTAATGAGCTGGAGCTCTCTAATAATAATCAGACTTAGCGCTTCCAACTTCAAAGGGCTGTGCGGACGCTAAGTCCCTAATCCCGGGAGCGCTGCGTTCACGAGTTGTTTTTGTGCGTGGCTGTGCTGCTGGATGGGGCTCGGTGTGATTTGGGGCAGCTACATGCGGTCCCACCACCTGTTGGAGACGTGACTGTCCCCTCCCAGGGCTGCAGGTGGGAGGTGATGTGCCTTTTACCCCCCTCCAGTCTGTATTTGACCTTCTGGGGTGCCCACACAGCATGGGAAAAACTGGGTCACTCAGCGCGGCTGTTCTCCCTTTGGGAAAATCTGTTGCTGTGGGTCGTGGGCTGTCAGATCCCTTGATCCTGTGTGGTAGCAGGATCTAACTGCTGGCAGACACGGTGCTGTTGGTCGCTCTGTCCTTGCTGTGCCACCCACCTGTTGCCAGCTTGTCTTATGCTGCTCCTTTCCTATCCAGGGAGAAATTCCCTTTTTGTGGGAATTCCCACTTTCCTGGTAAGACATGCCCATGCTGGCACTGCACAGTCCCCCTGTAAACACCTGCAAACCTCATGTGGAGCTCTGCTTTCCAGAACCTGCCCTGGAAAGATTGGTGGTTCCCAGGGTGCTTCTCCTGTCTTCAAGCAAAAGCCAGCCTGTCCAGTGGGACCCTTTTCCCAAGCAGCCACCCAAGGCTCTTGTGAGAATATCCCCATGGGGTCCCTGCTCTCCATGGTGGCTGCTCCGGGCCAGTCCATGACTGCACACACATGTCCTTGCTCTGTGAGATGAAGTCCCCAACAACATGGGACAGGCTGGGAATTAACCTAAAAATTTTGCCTGGCCTGAATTGGAAGAAGAGCAGAGTGTAAAGCAGTTGCTTTTAATTTTCTCCATGCGTTTGCTCTCTCGGGGCTTGGGGACTGGCACAGATAGAGGAATTTGAGGACGTCTTTCCAGCTGCCAGTGTCTTTTTTTCCCCCCTTTTTTCTTTTTATTAGAGATCATGGCATAGATGCCCAGAGGACCACCCAGTTAGAAAATAGAGCTCACATACTTTTCCCACTGCCTCTTCTCGTGACACCCGTGCCCAGTGACTGGGGGTGGTTATTTCCCATCTCTTCTCCATTGGACATTATCACTTTCCTACTGTTCTGGATGCTGAGCGGCTGGTGGCCAGCAGCCTTGAGGCTGGAGTGTGTCAGCGTTGGGTTGCAGGCTTGGCTTTGCTCTGGGACATTGCATCCATGGGGCTGGGATGCCCTGTGCTGCAGGGGTCTCGTCCTGGTTCCTTGCATTGTCCAAAGGGTAACAGGGTGAGGGATCATGTCCCGGCCATACTTTTCCCTCCAGCCCTGCTCCTTTTTGGGAGGAAAAGCCCCCATTTTCCTGGAAAGCAGCCCCCGCGCTTGCATTCCCCGCTCCCTGCTGCTTGTATCATGCTGCAAAAATCCGCCTCTACTTCACTGATTATTAGGACTGAACAGGGAGAGATTTCTCTGCAAATGTCAAATTTGCCTCTGTTGGTGGCTGTGGAGGGCAGGGACTTAGAGAGCACAGCCAAGGGGACTCGGGGGGCAGGGTCACAGTGGCTCTGCCCTATGGACAACATCCCATCCTTGGACAGTGACGTGCAAGCAGGGAGGGCAGCAAGCATTTGGAAGCTCTGTTGGATTCTGGTGTTGATTTGGGGTGCACTTGAACCTCCTCCTGGCCCAAGGGAAGGGACGTGGTGGCGCCTTTGGGTGCTGGAGAACCATCCCCTTTGCACACTCACTCGCTGCTGGGTTTTTGCATGGCGCCGCACCTTATCTGCTCTGGCACCTGACAAAGTGATAAATGCCCTCTCCAGCACTGTGGAGAGATGTTGCGGCTTCTCCCAGGCGCTGAGGAAGGCCAGCGGTGGGAAGTGGTTAGATATGCCTGCTCGCCGCCAGGCACACCGGCTTCAGGGCTGCTCCAGAAGGAGCTGGCATTGCAAAGTCCATTCTGTCCCGCTTCATTTTGCTGCTGCTTCACAAATTCTCTGTGCATGCCGCAGCCGGCCTCGGCCAGCTCTTGCTCCGACTGCCCCAGGCAATGGCAGCGCTCGGACCGAGCACAGCCCTGGGAACCAGGGGTGTTTGCAGAAGGAGGCTGGCTGTTTGCACGAAGGGTGAATTCAACCTTTCCCCTTCCTGTTCCTCTGGTCGGTCGGTCACTCTCACTGCCCAGTGTTTGGGCAGCTTTGTCCTTTGGGATTTGCTGACAC